CCACGGCTGGCTCCAGTGGGTGCTGCCCCAAAAGGTGCAGAGAAGCTGGGACTGGCACTCTGGTCTTTCTGTGTTCAGAAGAATCCTCAGAGGAGCACGTGGGGCTGGCTGAGGTGCTCCGCTCCAGAGCTGGCTGCGATCACTCACAAGAGACCCAGCCCTGTGTGAGGATCAGCTTTTGGGAGCACTGCCGGGCCCCCAGGCCAGCTGTGCTGCAGCTGCTCTCGAGCTGAACAGCTTCAGGCAGGGAGCACTGAGGAGCTGGAGGGGAGGGCAGAGGGGCAACACTCTGCAAGGGCTCCTACAGCAGATCCCTCAGTGGATGCACACCCCAGCACAGCAACAGGGTGTCCCAGAGACCATGGGGCATGATCCATACCTGCTTCCCAGCAGCTCCAGGGGCAATGCTCCACCAGCTCGACAAGGAGGCAGGGCAAGTTGTGGGTGTTCAGCATCCGTGTCAGAGCACTCAGGGGCAGACTGCAGAAATGACAGAAAGAGAGAAATGGCACTCGCAGATGAATGACAGAATTTGTATCTACAAATGCTCCCCGAGGCAACTGGGAGAGGCAGGAAAGAAACAATGGTCTGAGTTCCCAGGAGGACTGTGGAGCAGGGTGGACTGCTGCTGTGTTTGCCCCCCAGAGCACAGTGCCACTGCCACCGTGGACACAGCCAGCTGCTGAAGGGGCTGCAGGCACCCGCTGTGACCCCACAGGAATCCCATCCGGAGAGCTGGGCACATCCTCTGCTGCTCCTGGGCACCTACCTGTCCACCTGGTCAGTGATGAACCGCAGCACGGACAGGGCCTTCAGGGAAATCTCAAACTCCATCACCTCTGCCTGCTTCTGCAGCTCCTGTGGGGGGACAGGATCAGCCTTGGGATTTCAGGCCCCATTTCCCAGGAGCTACAGAGAGGCAGGCTGTTGATTGCATTGGTAACCACTGTCTGGGTAGGAAAACAGAGCCCTGAAAAACAGTTTCTTGTCTCAACTGTGCCAGCGCTGCCTGTTTGCCAGCGCAGCCACAGAAGTGCTTGCAGCCTGCAGTTGCTCTTCCCTCATGTCCCTGCCCATAACGGGTTGTGGGTGGCTACTGACTGCAGTGCTCCTGCACAAGAACACCCCCTGAAAGGGGCTGGTCCCAAATTTTGCCTCTCTCCCTTTCTGGGACCATCTTGTGGCCCATGGCCCTGTGGAGACCTGTGAGGGTTGAAGGAGGGGAGAGCTGCATGATCAGCAGAGGAACCAGAGGAGGAGGAAGAGGAGGGAGGAACTTGGCCCTGGTGCAGCTGCAGTCCTGTGTCCACCCCTCTTGGATCTGCCTCTTCCCTCCAGCTTGGGAACAGCCAACTAGAAATCTGCCTGTGGTTATCCCAGCCCACAGCTGTGCCATGCTCTCCAGCCCAGGCTCCTTCCCTTCCCAGACAGCACGGACACCCCACTCATCCCCCATCGGCCTGACCACTCTCTGACTCAGCCTCTTTCGAGGTGCCAAGTCCTTCTCCCCGGCTCAGGCAGAGCTTCTCTCCAGTCCCAGATGCAGCTCACACTTGGTGTGCAGAGCTCTGACCTCAGCTCCTTGTATTTCTCCAAAGAGCCACTGCAACAGTTGCCGTGCAGATTTCTGCGGGAAGCAGCTCTGTGCTCCCTGCACTGGTGCCCCACAGAGTTACTAACAGAGCCTTGTTAACAGGCTCTTCCCTGCCTCCTCCCTCTCCAAACTGCCCTAGTGAGGTTTGTCCTGCAGCTCCTCCTTGCATCCAGACCTCATCTCTGCTGCCTTGAGACAGGGACTATCTTTTGCCTGCGCTTCGAGGGGACAACAGAACAGGGGTTACCACCATATACAAAGGACAACAGGCTCCACAACCCAGGAGATGGCAGGAACAGCTTTTTCACAGGGGTTATTGAACACAGGGTCAGGAGAGGCTGGAATGAATCAGAGGAAACCAGGCTCTCTGGAAGATGAGTGCTTTTGAGAATCCTATTGGCTAGAAAAGGTCTGGGTTTTTGTGTTCGTGTCAAAAGCAGTAACAGAAACACCCCTTTCCCCTCCCCAGCTGGGAAAACATTTCCTGGAAAACATCCCTATTGTGGTCCAGATCCCTCCACTTCCTTCCCTTTTCTGAAAGAGAAGTATGTGCTTGGGCAACAAGCCAAAGCATGGAGGCGAGGGGAGGCTCAGGCTCTCCCTTTAACCCTGCTCTTCCAGATTCTCCTCCTGATGTGCAGCTCCAGGTGCTGAGAAGCACCAGAGGCAAAGACAGCTCCTGCTCTGGGAAGGTGTGTGTGTGTCAGCCTGGGAATACCTGCTGGGAAAGCTCTGGGATCGCTGCTGGCCCAGACCAGCTCAGAGGAGGTGTTTCTCAGAGAACAAAGGAAGCTGGGGGAAGCACATGAAGACAATTCCTGGTTGTGAGGAGAACTCTCTCATGGTTAACCCTGGCTGATATACTGGCAGCCTGACCCAGGCTGGCTTCCCAGACTTCAGGGAGAGATATCCACACAGCTTCCAAGAGCAACAGCAAATGGCCAAAGCCCTCTACTGAATATTTTGCCCATCAACCCTCCAGCGTGTCCCACCCCAGAGCTCTGAGCATGGCCTGCAGGAAGCCTCAGGCTGGCACTAGCACCAGACAGGGCAGAAGCCAGGCTGCAGAGTGGATGCAGCCACAGGCACAGAGAAGCACCAGACACCCTCCGAGGTGGGCAGGAGGTGCCAGGGCTGCAACCCATGAAAAGGCCTCCCTGTGCCTCTGCAGGCTGCCCATGTTCTTCACCACACGCGTCCCCAGGGAGCTCCAGGGCTTTCTCCTCACCTGCATGGATGAGGGGCTGGCCAGAGGCTCAGCACAAAGCCCTGCTGAGGTCACTGCTGGTGCCTTGGTGCTCCGAGCTGCCAGCAGGGTCAGCTTGCGGTGGCAATAGTCGATCAAATCCAGAATGCTGTCCTCTGCTGACTCACAGATCTCCTGCACAGTGACAGGGGTTCCACACAGCGTCAGTCCCCACAGCCTTCCACCCCCGGGGTTTTCCACCTGGGGAAAGCTGAACCTGTGTCTCACCTTGTGAAAGAACACTGTCTCCAGGAGGTTGATGATGGAGGCTTCATGGTGCAGCTGTGGGAGGAGAATGGCAAGAGTGAGTAACAGTGGAGCAGCACTGGGGACATGGCACTGGGACAGGGAGAAGGGCTTTTCTGAGAAGCTGCTTATGTAGCTGTGGCCAAAGAGAAAAATACAAGTGATGCAACCTTCAAAACAGCTCCAGTTCATGTTAATATTTATGCTGACATGCCTGTGACACTCCAACATGCCAATGGAGAGCCACGCTTCCCAGCAGGCAGTGATCTTCAGGGCTCTTCAGCCTGTGCTGCAGGGGCAGGACAACCACTGCCGTCGGGCAAGCTGCAGGCTCTGGCACCAGAAAAGAGCTGGGACAGGGCTCTGCATGGCTGTGCTTCTCCCAGGCCTGGGACTGGGGCAGACAGCCTTGTCCAGGACTGGGAACTATGGAATAGCTGCCCTGAGGCAATCGGCTGCTCAGGGAAGGCACCACCTTGTCCCTGCAAGATGTTTGTCTGCACTGAAAATGGGTTAAAACCTCCAAGCCTCATGGAGATTTTCCTTAGGTCAAGGGCTGCATCTCTCTGCAAGGAAGCCCAGATCTGGAGATCATTCCCGTGCCAAGAATGGCCAAAGGGACCACTGGTCCCAAGAGCTCAGTAAGAAAAAGTTACATTTTTGTTAGCCCAGAGGCACATAACACTGGAGAGCCTCTGGCAAGAGAAAAACAGTGCTCAGAGGGGGAAAATACCCCAGGGGTACCACTGCCTGGGAGCAGAGGCAGCACTGGGAGCCACAGCCAGGAGCACAGCTGCCTCCAGGAATGGCTTTTGCTCCATCCAGCAGCTCCTGCAAGCCCCTGTGTGGGATTAGAGGGGACAGCTCTCCACCAGGCCAAGCTTCCCTGGGAGTGAGTCCCTGTCCCTCCTGGGGGCAAGGGCAGGGGCTCTATGGGCTTTGGGAGACCAGGCACTTCCCACTGTGTCCCTCTGCCCCCCTCAGCCTGCTGAGATGCAGACCCTCAGCTCTGAGACCTTCAGGGTGACATTTCTTCTCAAGCACAGCAGTGCCTGAGCCATCTGCAGGCTCATTCCCACCACCCCTGTACTCACCACCACATAGATGGGGAAGGTGCTCCTCGGCCTGAAGTCCTCCAGCCGGCACAGCACGGGAAAGATCTTGTGCTTCCAGATCTCCACGGAGATCAGCTCCCCAATGAGAACAGGAATCTAGACAGGGAAGGGATGGGGAAGTGAAGCCTTTCAGCCAGTGCAGCAGGGGGATCCAGTTTGTTGCTAATGGTCAGCCACACTGGAGGCATCCAGGGAGGAGGGTGGCCTTAGGGCACTCTGCACTCTTCCAGCTCACAAGAGAGCAGCTTCTCACAACAGGGCAGAGCTCCTGGGGCTGCAGAGGGGAAAGGTGACCCCAAGGAGCTGGGCAGCTCCAGGCAACCTCACAGCCTGAGACTGGGACCCTTCAGGCATAGAGCAGAAATCTGCAATCAGAGGGACCAGTGTGTCAAGGAGACCAAAACAACCTCCAACAGAGAAACCAGACACCAGCAAGTAGAAATACCACAGCTTGACCTTTAATTTTTTTAAAAAACAAAACTGGCACACCACCAATCAAACATCTCTTCCAGAGACAACAGATTCTTCGGCGCTTTATTCCAAAATTGCACACTGCCCACAGGGCAAGCCCAGCTGGAGGATCACTCCTGCACCCAGGGAGGCTCACCTTGGCATGGGTGACCAGCAGCTCGATGAGGAGCTGCTCCTCGCCCGCTGAAGCGCTCAGGATGCCGTGCATGTTGAGCTTCTCCACGTACTCGTGCTGCCGAAGCCACCTGAGGGCAGCCAGGAGGACAGCAGTGCCACAGAGCTCTGGTGGCTGGCTTGGCGAGGGTCCCTCGTGCGGGGAAACCTGCTCCTGCAACCCCCAACGCCACGCTGTGCCCTGAGCCTGGGGCTGCAGCTCCACTGGACAGCCCTGCCCTGCTGGCTGCGCCCCCAGCACCCTCACTGGGGACACCACAGAGCAGGGGGAGCCTCTCCATCACCCCTACACCCTCACAGACACTCAGACCCGGGACCCCTCCTCACCCTGGGCCCTCCAATCTCCCCCAGCCCTCGCAGGAATGCTCCAGAATTGCAGCCCCTTCTCTCACCCCACCCCACCCTAACCCTCTGGGGTTCACCTCAAAACCAGGACTCCTCCTCTCTACCCAAAACCTTCTGGGAACCTCTCCTTACCCCCACCGTGACCCCCGGGAAGGCCCCAAAACTGGGCCCCCTCCTGTGCTCCCCACAGCCCCAAAGGTGACCCCCCGCATTTAAAGTCCCTCTTTCATGTTCTCCCCCCATAGACACCCCATTGCCGTGTCCCCGCACCCCTGCCCGCCGATGTCCCGGAGCTCGGAGCCCTGCAGGGCTCGCACCAGCGCCTCGGCCTCGGCGGGCGGCAGCGGCCCGGGCACGGCGGCCATGGCGTCCGCGTCGCTGTGGCAACGGCGCCACCGCCACTGCCCCCTGGCGGAGCGGAGGACTCGCTGCGGGCCGGCTGCAGCAGCGGCGCGGGGCGGCCTCTGCTGCCCCCTGGCGGCGCGGAGGAGCGGCCGCACCAGAGGGGCGCTCCGGGGACACGTGGCGGGGACAGCGGGGGACAGCGGGTGACAGCGGGGGGACACGGCTCTAGCGGGGGCTATCGCTGCGTCACTTCCAGCACACGATGATGTTGGGGTCGTTCTCCAGGCGCTCATCCAGCTCCTTGTAACTCATGCCTGGGGAGTAAGACAGTGGGGTGTCAGAGGGCTGGTGGACTCCCCAAGCCCTGCCCCCGGCAATATGGGCTTGGCAGCCTGGCTGGGAGAAGAGCCAGTCCCTTCTCCCTGTAGTCTGAAGGCGCACAGTCCCTTCTCCCTGTAGTCTGAAGGCTCCCAAAGGGGCAAGAACCCAGGAGCAGTGCACAGCTGTGGGCAGGCAGACAGCCCCGTGTGTCCCACCGGCCCTGGGGCTCACACGGAGCAGAGGATCCCGTGGGCCCCACGGATCCGTACCAGTCTTGCAGCAGATCTCGTCGTAGCTGTGGCAGCCCGTGTACAGCCGGGCTGGGTGGCTGCGCTCGTCCCGGGCCACCTTGACAGGATATTTCTGGAGCCGCCGGATAAGGCCCTTCATCAAACCAAACTGGATGAGCCTCCTGGGGACGAGGAGGGAAGAGACTGAGACCACAATGCCGAGGTGCCAAATGCCCCAGCTCTCCACATTCTCTTCTGTTCCATATGCCCCACCACTGCCTCACGTTTCCTACCCTACACACAGAGGGGTTGAGTTCCTGCTCACTCTCTCTGCCACCCCCAGTGTCACCACTGCCCTTAGGCACCGATCAGGAGGGCTCTGACCTCTCATCCACCCTCTGGAGCTGCAGGGTGTAGCGGGAGATGAGGTCTCGCACGGTGGTGCCAGGGCTCAGCCCGCAGTACAGCTGGAAGACATCCCTGAGGCTGGCTCGCTTGTGCCCTGCAAGGACAAGTCACTATTCAGCTGCCCTGTCCCCCCGCCTGGGCCAGCATCCCCAGGCAGGGTCACTGTACCTTGTTTGGTGACATAGGACAGACACTCTTCCTGCAGGCACTTGTCATCCACCAGGTCCTGGACCTTCGGTGTGGTGCAGTAGACATTGGAGTACTGGAGGGTGATGGAAAAGCAGCCCTGCTGAGCTGCAGCTCTGAGACAGGCCCAGCCCACTCCAGCCCTGCTGTTCACCCTCCCCAGGCACTGCCCAAATCCCGCTCCCAGCCCCACGGCCCGACCCACCTGGAGTATGGAGACAAGCGTGACAACCCCGTAGTACCTGCAGATGGACAGGGAAGGGTGAGAGGTGCTCCCAGGCAGCCCCCCCCTCCTGGGGCTGAGCAGCCCCTGCAGGCACTCACAGCAGGTTCTGCACGGCGATGCGCACCAGGTTCAGCTCCACGTCGGCCTCCGCCGAAATCTTCTGGACGTGCCGGAATCCATCGATGTAGGGCAGGATCTGGGAGGGCACGAGGTAACAGGGCAGAGAGCAGTGAGGCATCACCCTGAAGCCCGAGCAGCTCCCCTGGGTCTGGGATGGGCAGGCTCCATCCCCAGTGTGCTTCAGCCTTGTGCTGGTGAATGATTTGCTCACAGGCCCAAGCACAAAGCCAAGGGCAGCACCAAACCATGGACATAAACATGGGGATCTCCAGGACAGCCCAACCCCCGATGGTCTGGAAACAGACCCCCTTCAAAGCGTGAAGCACACGGACCTGCTGCGTGGTGAGATCCCACTGGGAGTTGAAGAAGTCATCCTTGTCCTGGGTGAAGACAGGGACATCGTACTCCTGCACGATGGGGGGGTCTGGGCGCTGCTCAATCACCTTCAGGTGGATGGTGTTTGACTCATCTGCCCGGGACAGGGAATGCTCAGTCTCCATGAAAAACAGTGCTTCCTCAGCAGCTTGCAACCATCAATCCCAGGACACCACAGTGGCACACAGAACAAGGTCTTTGCAGCCCATAACCCCATCCCACCCGTCCCTTGGAGCCAGGTAGGGCAAGGCTGGCTCAGATACCCCCAGCTCCAAGCACAGACAGGCAGCTATAGGGAGCAGCACAGGTAGAGCCAGCCTGGGCAGGGAATGGCCCAGCTGTCTCCCAGCATGGCCCTGTCCTTGCCATACCTATGGGCAGGGTGCATTTCCCTTTGGCATTCAGCTCCTCCAGCAGGATGGTCATGATGGGAACTAGCTTCTGTTTACTCTCCTCGTTGGAGATGAATCCACTTTCCAGCTGAAGAGAGCAGAAAGTCAAGTCAGCTCTTCCCCACAGGATTACGAGCTACAGGAGCCCAGATCCTGTTCTCCTTTAGAACAGAAGTGATCTGTGGGAAACCAGCACAACCCCCTCCTCACTGTAAAACCAGCCCGTCCCAGCAGTGCCCAGCGGTCCCTGCTGAGGTGCCCACGCTCTGCGGGGCGGATCCGGAGGCAGGCTGGCCGTGCCCAGGCCTCACCTCGAGCGTGGTGAGGTACCCAGCCAGCTTCTTCACGATGGGCTCCAGCGCGCAGGCCTTGGCTCTGGCGTCGCACACGAAGCCCAGGTTGAAGAGCAGAGCGTTCCGGCTGTACTTCTTGTGCTCGATGCACACGGGGCAGCCGATCAGCTTCTTCTCCATGGCCGTCCTGTGGGGACACCTGTGACCTGCACCTACGCCCTCAGGGAGCCTCGAGTTCCCCACAAGGACGGCTCCCAGCCGGCTCTGCAGGTATTGGCTTTATATTGCAGGAAAAATGATGCCTAAGCCCTACATGCTCAGAGTGCAAATCACAGTCTGAAGGGGGAGCGGGGAGGAAAGTCAGCCCTCAGAAAAGGAAACTGTCTCCTTTGGAAACCAGCACAGCCCTCCTGACTGCTCTGACTTTCCTGGATTTAAGGCTGGTGGAGCGGCAGATGCAGCACCAGCCACCCCCCAGATGTGACCACCCACCCTCTGCACGGCTACCGGGGGCACGGCAGCCGCCTCGGGGCCGGGAGCCCGGCAGGGCCACAGCGCCGAGCTGAGCGCACCGAGCCGGAGGGCCCGGGGCAGGGCCGGGCTCTGCCCGCACTCACACGGTGATCAGCTTGTTCTGCAGCTCGGGCTTCGTGATCACGTACACCTGGATGGTGTCAAACAGCTCCCGGGAGATGAAGTCCTCGGGGACCTGCGGCGGCACAGGAGGCTCCGTTCCAGCCGAGCCCCGTCCCGTTCCGGGAGCGCCCACCGCCCCGGCCCGGCCCCAGCCCCCCGCCGCGGGCAGCGCCCCGGGCCGCTCGCCCCGCACCTGGTAGGTGATTTTGGGCCCCAGCGTGGGGTGGAACTCGCTGAAGAACACGCATTCGATGCGGCCACCCATGGCGGAGCGGCCCGGCACCGGCCCCGCCGGCCACCGTAGCGCCGCTCCCGCGGAATCACACGGCCGAGCTCAATGTGAGGGCGGGGCGGGCCCTCACATTGAGCGACAGCACTTCCCACCACTCAGCGGCGGCGCAGCGCAGTGAGGCGGGTCTTAGTGCTGACGGACAGCCCGCCTCATCCAATCGGAGCCCGCGCCGCGGCCCGGCCATGTCGGCAGCGGCGGTTCCGCCCGCCCGGCCAACATGGCCCTGACGGCCGAGACCGAGTCCCGCCTGTACCGCTCGCTGCGCGTGGTCTCCGGCGCCGCCGCGCACCTCGTGGCGCTGGGATTCCCCGCCGCCGTGGCCGTGCTGGCGCGGCCAGGATCCAGTGAGTGCCGGCGGGGCCGGGGCCCGGGGCGCGGGGAGGGCCGGATGTCTCAGCTCACCTCAGCTCACTCTGCGCTTCCCTTGCAGGTCTCTTCTCCTGGCACCCGCTGCTCATGGCCCTCGCGGTAAGTGCCGCTGCCCCGGTCACCGCCCCGCTGCCGTGGGGCAGGCAGGGGCCGTGCCGGCGGAGTCCCTGGGTGGTGGGTGCCGAGCCCCGGGAGCCCCCGGCTGATGGGAGGCTGAGCCCCGGGCGGTGGGTCGGTGGGTGCCCAGCCCCGGGGCGGTGAGTGCCCAGCCCCGGGAGCCCCGGCGCAGGGGCGTTTGGCCGGTGCCAATGCCGCTGCCCTCTGCCCCCAGTTCTCGTTCCTGATGACGGAAGCGCTGCTGATCTTCTCCCCGGAGACCTCGCTGCTGCGCTCCTTCTCCCGCAAGGTCCGAGTGCGGGTGCACTGGGCCCTGCAGCTGCTCGCCCTGCTCTGCGCGCTCCTGGGGCTGGGAATCATTACCTACAACAAGCACCTGAACGGCAAGGGCCACTTTGTCACCTGGCACGGGCTGACGGGGCTGCTGGCCGTGCTGTACACGGGCGGGCAGTGCGCCGGCGGCGTGCTCCTGCTCTACCCTAAGCTGATGAAGAACTGGACGCTGGCCAAGCTGAAGCTGTACCACGCAACCTCAGGGCTGGTGGGCTACCTGCTGGGCTGTGCCAGCCTGATGCTGGGCATGTGCTCCCTCTGGTTCACCACCACGGTGACCGGTGCCTCGTGGTACCTCGCCATGCTGTGTCCCCTCGTCACCAGCCTGGTTATCATGAACCAGGTGAGCAATGCGTACCTGTACCGCAAGCGCAGCCAGCACTGAGGGCTTGGTGCTGACCTGAACTTCCCAGAGCGAGCTGGGTCTCCCCTTGGAGAGAGCTGGCAGCCCCCCTGCTCGCACAGGGTCTCCTTGGAACTTGGTTTCTACCTACTCGTCTTTCCTTAGTCCTGGATTGTCCGTAGTGTCTTGTCCCTGGGGAGCAGCCGCTCCAGATGCGTGTGACACCTCACCCCTGCCTCAGTGGGGATGCTCCCTGGCACAGGTAAAGCTGCCAGTCCCTGTGGCAGCTTGGTGCTCAGTGCAGGGAAATGGAGGGCTCACTCAGGATTCCTGCTCCTTTTCCCTTCCCACGCAGGGCTGCTTCGGAGCAGGCAGGCCAGGAGCCATCCTGGTGAGGAGGGCAGGGAGTCCCTTCTCTCCCGGGAAGCTGCAGCAGGCACCACGCTGCCTCTCCTGTCACGGGGGCAGCTTGACAGGAAAGCACAGGGCACGGTTGTGGCTTCAGCCCTGGCAGGGCTGGGGCAGGGTGGTGGCACCCGAGCAACGGTACAGCAGCACGTGTGTCCCCATGGCACGGGCAGTCCCTGGGATCAGAGCGGGCAGCTCTGCCCCAAGGCCCTGGGTCTGGACGCCCCGTGCCACGCACAAACCCCTCCTCCGTGGGCTGGGCTCGGCCTGCTGGGGTGGGGTCAGTTTACAGAGCAAATTACTGAGCTGGGCTGTGAGCGTGCAGCCAGCAAGTCATAGGGAACAGTGTGAGCACAGGGGGAGGCACAGACCTGGGCAATGAACCCTTGGGAAGGCAGGAAGAAACCTCCTTGCTGGCACAACAGCCTTCCTTCCAGCACGCATCCTGCTCCCGGCAGGGCTGGAGAGCTGGGAGCGGCTCCCAGGCTGAAAAATTCCTCTGTATCCAGAGCTTTTATTCAATAAAAATTTCAGGCAGCTAGAGTGCAACAAGCCCTCTTTACTTCTTGGGTGGGATGACTTTTGGGGTGCAGGCAGACATCTCTCCCTGCTGGGAGCACCTGGGAAGAAAGCCCCAGGGGCTGCTCGGGGCCAGGTCCCCCACCCTGCCCATGCTCTGCTGCAGGAGCCAGCGCTTTCAAAGAACTCTTTATTGATACCCAAATGTCTGTGTTCTTCCCATTTGACAAAACCTTCTCATGTGGTCCTTTAAAAAAATAATCGTAACACTGCTGATCCGCATCCTGGGCTGGGAATTGCCCACTGGATCAGGAGCTGTGGAGGCTGTCACACGGAGCATCCTCTCCATCCAGGAAAAAAACTCCATCAACAAAGAGGGAGGGAAAAGAAAGGGGGAGCCCATATTCTACCTGCAGGAAAGAAAACCTGCTGCCAGAGGAAGCAGCTAGAGTCCCACTGTAAAATTAATTCCAGCTTCTAGTGTAATCTGGCAAACGGATTAGCTGGGGAGCAGCCAAGGGCAGCAGCTCCTCGCAGGGGGAGGGGGCAGGAGAGGAAGGAGGAGAGAATCCCCACCATGCAAAGCCTGGAGCTGGCAGTGCTGGAGCACCACCATGAGGGGCCGGGTGGCCTCTTCCTGCCCAGTGTCCCGTCCCCTCCTACCCAACAAACTTCTCACCGGCCCTGGCAAGCTCCTGCCGGGGCTGGGGGAGGCTCCCCAGGGGAAAGACATTTGGAAGAGAAACCCACGAGCCTTCTCACTGCCTCAATTAAGGACAAAACTACCTTCAGAAAGGAGAAAGTAAGTGTTGAGTGCTCTGGCCAAGCCCTGGCACAGAGGAGAAGCTGACTTCCATCCCACGAGGGCCAGCACAGCGGCTTGGGGCAGGGATCAGCCCCGTGTCCCTCTCCCAGAACAGCCCCCGCCACCTGCAACGACTCCACGGCCTGCCCCGGCTGAGGGAGTGGCTCCAGGAATCCCTGTCCTCACGGTGGTGGCAGTGTCACTGTCCCGGGTGCCTGGTGCTGGCCGCGAGCAGCAGCGAAGCGTTGGAATGAGGTATCCCCCTGCCTGTGCCGGGAGGAGCCCCCGCCCCCGGGGGACGCGAGGGGGATTAGCAGCTCTCCAACGGAGACAGGGCGGGAAGGGGGCCGCTCACAGCTGGGACGGGGCGTCCTGGAAGCTGATGAGGTTGGACTCCTGGCCAGGGCTCTTCCCGGCCGTGCCGGGCTCGGGCAGCAGTGGGCTGTCAGCCTTCGCTGCTGCTGCCGCCTCCTCCTCATCATCCTCCATGCTGGGCCAGGCTGACTGGTCCTCCACTCGCTTCAGCCGCTCGTTCAGAGCCTTCAGGGCCAGCTGCCTGCAGGACAAGGGCACGTGGGCAGGTTAACCCCGGGTCAAGGGCTCTGCCCCACGGGCACTGTGCCAGTCAGTCCCTGGCTCCTCCCCAGCAGGAAAGGGTGAGTAGTGCTGGGGAAGACCTGGAGTGCCTGGGACTGCTCCACAGAAATCCACTCCGGCTCCCGGACTGCTCACACGGAGTTTACGTGCTACGTGGAGGCTGTCAGCACAAGGGCAGCTCCGGGAATGGGGAATAAGGCATAAAGCAGGGCACGGAAAAGGGAGTGCCAGCACCCTGTCCAAACCCTCTTGCCAGAAGTCAGGAAGGGCAGTGCTGGCTGTGCTGGAGGGCTGGGGTGTGGGGCTGACTCACTGCCCTCCCCTGGGCCAGGGTGAACTGGTGGAAGGCTGCCACGAGTACGGGTTGTCACTGTCCCAGACTGTCCCCCTTTCTTCTGCAGGGACCCCTAACCTTGTCTGCCCCTTTCCCAGGGTCTCCCCTGCCTTTCCATTGCTGCTCCATATCTGGAAGAGCAGAATAATGTCCCACCAGCTCCCTGAAATGCTCCTCAACACCTCCGTGGCAGACCACATGCAGAAGACCCCTCCTGCACCTAAATCTCCCCCCTCCTCCTCGGCTGGATTTTAAACTGTACCCTCGCTGTCCCTAAACACGATCCGGCAGGGCAGGGCAGGGCAGGGGTACCTTCTCCTCTCGGCGTCCTGGGGGTCTGTACCCGGCAGGCTGATGGTGATGGAGGACGGGGCACCCACGTCGTAGCGCTTGACGGTCTTGCGGCACAAGCGCACCTTCACCAGCACGCTGTGCACCAGGTTGGCCACCAGACCCACCACGGGCTGCAGGATCTCGGGGAAGAAAGTGGCGAAGGCGAAGTGGTCGCTCATGTCTCCGCGGCCTCTACTGTGCCGCTGGTAGAAGCGCAGGTAGACCCAGCTGGAGAGGAGCCCGAAGCCGTACGAGGCCAGTACATTGCTCTCGACGAGGGCAGCGAGCCGCAGCAGAGCCAGGAGCAGGAGCAGGAGCATGGGGACAGCCTTCATTCTGACCTGAGGCACCTTCAGTACGGTGCTGTCCCCCATCGTCTGCTTGAGGGCCACCAAGACCCCCCCGAGGAAGCCCAGGCCGCCGTGGATGCGGACGGCGAACAGATAGTGGAGGTGGAAGGAGGCCACATAGGTGAGGAAGTAGGCGAGGGCCGCCAGGAGCCCCACGGAGATGTTCACCACGGCGAAGAAGACGAGGAGCTCCAGCGCGCCCCAGAGGGGCTCCAGCAGCCGCCCGGCCGTCCCCAGCGTGGCCAGGCTGGCCGCCAGCCCCCAGGCGCGCTCCTCCACCAGCCCGTGCGTCAGCAGCGTCCACACCCAGAAGTTGGGGGGCAGGAGGTAGCCGGGCGTCACCCCCAGCCCGTAGGCCGTGTCCAGCCCGAAGGAGAGCAGGTACAGCAGCACCACGGCGGCGCTCAGCGACTTCACCACCACGCTGGTGCCGGCCAGCGCCGCCAGGAAGTGCTGCCGGGCCACCGGCAGGTACCGCCGCATCTTCGGCCCCGCGGGCGGGACGGGGCGGCCCCGCGGGGGCTGCCCGGCCCCACCCGCCCGCCTGCCCCGCGCAGCCCCCGGCCGGCCCCGGTGTGTCCCCCCGCCGCCGCCGCCTCGGGCCAGGCCGCGCTCGGACCCTCTGCTGGGCCAGGCCGGGCGCGGACAAACAGGGCCGCTGCGCATGCGCGGAACGGGGCGACAGGGAGGAGCTGCCGTGGGGGCGGGGCCAGGGCGCCGCGAGGCACGTCGGGACTTGTAGTCCGGCCACGTTGGACACCGGACACGGGCCGGGGGAGACGGACATGCGCGGGGGGACACCGGACACACGGCCGGGGGACACGGGGGGACACGGACATGGGAGGACACCGAAACGGGAGGACATGGGACAAACGAGCGACACGTACGTGGGGGAGACGGGGGGGAAGACACCGACACAGGGGGACACGGCGGGACGTGGGGGAGAGGTGGCAGAACACGGTCATGGGGGTGCGTACATGGGGGACAAACCCCGGGAGAGGGGGATGTGGACACGGGTGGGCTGGACACGGAGCTCACTAGGGGACAGTGACCCCCTGCAGCAGGGCGACACGGGTGCGGGGACACGGGCATGGAGTGGGGCGTGGGCAGGGTGACGGTCCTGCGGGGACACAGGGGGATGGGGGCCGAGCCCCTGCTGTGCCCCAGCCCTGCCGTGAGCCCACGGCTCTGCGGGGTCCCTGTCCCGTGTCCCTGCCCCCCGAGGTGCAGCAGCTGAGGGCAGTGTCCCACCTGGCAGCAGCCCCCCGATATCCTGTGCCCCCCCCATGCTGTGCCCCCCCAGCCGTGCCCACGGCCCCGGGCAATGATGCAGCCACTGCCTGTGAAGTGAAAATATGAACATTATTTAATAACTGAGTCTCTGTAATAAACCATTTGAAAATATTTTACAAGGAGTCACACGCACGATATCTTACAAATTGTCTTTTTGTTGGTTTTTTTTTTTTTTTAAATAAATTAAAGAAAATCAATTAAAAACCCAATGCCTTTGAATGAGCAGAGAGAAGCTTTTGGGTGGGGACAGGGCAGGAGGTGACCCCGGCGGGACGGGGGGCCCGGGGCCACGCCGCCCATTCGTCTCATTGGTTTTTAACTTAAAATAGACTATATATGTATATATTTATAGGTATGTATAGTGGTGGTTTTCTGGCAGAGCACCTAACTAGACTACAGAAGTACACACACTCCCGGTAACACAGAGCCATCTGTTCAAACACGGTTCCCAGAGACAGTAACCAAACACACACTGAAAAAGCTACAAGCAGAATGACCATTAATTAACCCAGCACTAATTAGCGCCTGGCGCCCTCCCCAGCCCCCCCGGGGTGGCCATGCCGGGGGGGCTCCCCTGGACCCGGTCGATGGGGTGGCTCTGAGCGGGGTGCCCCGGGGGGGTGAGGGTCCCCAGGGCTGCCCAGGGACCCCCGGCACTGCCGGGAGCGGGGGTGGCCCCCCGGGTGTCACAGCTGTCACCCCGCTCCGGGCCCCTCCGCACCTCTCCTGGCCGCGTTTGTGGGGTGCAGCGGGCTCTGAGGGGAGCGGGGCAGAGCAGCCGCGCCGTCCCCTGCTCGGATTGACTGGGGGGCAGCCCCCCCGGGATGCCCCGGTGTGAGCCCCGGCACCGCTGCGGGGCCACCCCCTGTCCCGCACCCCCGGGACGGGCACGGCGCTTCTGGGGACGTGTGGCACCGCCGGCTCCGCTTGGCACTCGAGCACGCTGGGGCGTGGGCGTGACCCCCGGGACACGGGGACACGGGGCATGTCCCCAGGGGACGGGCAGCCCGGCCCGGCCAGCGCGGCCGCCTTGGCAGGGCAGGGAGCCCGCGCAGGGCTGGAGGCGGGGGCGGGGTGAGCGGGCAGGATTCACAGTGATCTGCAGAACGGAAAAGAAACAAAACACATTTCCCCCCTCCTTTCCACCCCAGTATCTGTGCCCAAGGACGCTGAGCCCAGCGCAGCGGCCGGGGCTCGCTGGTGCCCGGCAAAGGCCACTGTCCCCGAGCTGTCCCTGCCCGCTCGCAGCCCCAGCCCGAGGGATGGGCCCGCGGGGATGCTGCAGCTGCCCCTCACGCCCTGGGGCCGGGACCGCCAGAACAAATGATACTGACCCGCACAGTCAAGTCCTTTCTTTCTTTTTTTTTTTTTTTTCTTTCCTTCCCCCCCCCCATTTTTTCCTTTTTTTTTTTCTTTTTTTTCTTTTTTTCTTTTTTTGTTTTTTTTTGTTTGTTTTCCCATGTGTCCTCGTTGCTGACAATAAACCCCGCCGGTCTCCAGGTGAAAATGTTGGAAACTCGATGTAGAAAGATCTGCTTTAAAATCTTCAGGCTAAAAAAATAGGCGAGGTGGATGGGGGGGTCGCGGGCGGAGGACACCGACGCCACTTTTCCAAGTCCGAGTGGCCGGGAGGGCGCGACGCCGGGGCACCGTGCCGGTCCCCGCTCTGCCGGGAGCCCCTGCCCCCGCACCCGGCTCTTCTTTGGCTGCGGCCGGCGGGGAGAGCGGGGCGGCACCGGGGGTCCCCGAGGCGGCGGAGGGGACGTCGCTCCCGCTCCACCGGGCCGGGGAGGAGCATGGAGATGGAAGTTGAAAGAAAAGAGAGCTGGCGGGGGCGGCCGGGGGGCTAAAGGCAGGCGGCCGGGGGCAGTGGGTGCCGGCTGGTGCTGGAGTAGAGGAGCAGCAGCTGCAGCGAGAGCAGGACCCCCAGGGAGGGGGAGAAGGAAGCCCCTCGGCCGCAGTCTGAGGTATCTTCCTGCGGGGGTGAAGAGAGGGGCCGTGGGGCACCCCCAGCAGTGCCTCGGCAGCCCAGGGGCACCCACGGCCCTGGCAGGGGCATCTGCCACCTCCCTGCGGCCCGAGAGCCTCCTGCCTGCAGCACAGCCCGGGACCCCCCGGTGCTGCTCTCCCCGGCACCCCCGCACTTTCCCCCAGGAGGGCACTGCGCTCCAAGGGACCCTCATAGCTGTGACCTCCCCAGGGAATACCCCAGGGCTCCTGAGCCCTCCCCCTTGTTCTCCCCGGGCTCCAAACCCCCATCAGAGGGGTCCCCCCACCCCTCTGGGTGATCCCCTCATGGCTCTGTTCCCCTTGGGGGACACCTCTTGGCTCTGTTCCTCCCAGGGGGGACACTCCCCTTTCCATTTCCCCCTCAGGGCTGAACCCCTCAGCTCTGCTCTCCTGGGATTTCCCCCACGGCTCCAATCCCCACTCAGGGGGAACCCAAACTTCCCCCAGGGGCCCCCCCATGGCTCTGCTCCCCCCCACCACAGGATACCCACTGCCCCAGCCCTGCTGCCCCTGCCCCCACGTACTGTTGCATTGTAGTCGAAGCAGATGTGGGGGCCTTTCCGGTAGCGGGGCCTGTCCACCAGCTCACACTGGTTGGGGTCCCTCGGGGGGGCTTGGCAGGTCAAGGAAACCACCAGGAACAGGGCAGTGGGGGCTTGTAGGGCACCCCCAGCCCCTTTGGCCACGAGCCACCTCCCTCCACCCCTGCCAAACTCCACAACTCCACAGGTCCTTGCCCCGCTGCCTGTCCCACAGACCCTATATGTCCCCCCACCTCGCTGCCACCACATTCCAGTGGGATGCAGCTGAGACATCAAAGGATACCTCTTACCTCTGCCTGCAGCAGCTTGACAGACTCACACTGGCTGCAGAGGGGCTTGTCAGCCACCACGAAGAGCAGGTTGGTGTTGGCCAGTCTCTGTGCATGGAAGAGCCTGGGGGTGCGAAGGCAGTGGGATCCCCCCTCACCTTCTGCCCCAGTCCCCCCCAGCTGCTAGCCCTGCTGAACCCATCTCCCCAGACCCAATTTCATCATTGTCCCTGTCCTTCTCCCCATCCCTGTCCCCAGCTTCATCCCTGTCCCTAACCTCATGCCTGTCCGCGTTCCCAACCTTGTCCCCCTCCCCATTCCCTGCCCTGGCCTCCATCCCCATCCTCATCTCCACCTCCCTGCCCATCCCCATGCTGAGGGGCTGCCCAGGGGCTCAGCACTGATGGCCTTCAGGGCTTGGTTCCACGCAGAGGATCCCTGGGGACTCCATCACGCACAGCCCATGGGGACACCACTGTTCCTCTCTGTCCTCCCCTCCGGGCATCACAGTCCCCCCAAATGCTGCACAGCATCCCCTACTGCCCCCACACAGGCTGCTGCACGGGCACCTTGGCACAGGCAGCCCTGGGGGTGTCCCCAGCCCTGCGCAGGGGTGGGACAGCAGGGATGGACCCACCTGGAGCAGTTGCCGCAGTCGATGATGGCGTTGTAGGTGGCGTTGACGGTGCTGAAGTAGTACTGGGTCTGCTTCATGATGCAGCTCGTCTCCCTGGCCTCCATGCCGTCCCCCACCACCTCCTCTGTGCCAGCACAGCGCTGTGGGCCAAAGGCCACCAACCCCCCCAGCCCTGCCCACCCCCTGCTCAAAGCTTCCCAGGACTGACCCGTCTGGAACCAGCTGCTGTAGGTGAGGCTGTACAGGAACTGCTGGAACAGGGACCTGGGGAAGCAAGGCGTGGCCACTCAGGTGTCCCAGCCCCAAGGACACCCCAGTGTTGCTCCCCAGCGGGAATGGCCCCAGGGAGGGGACATGGCAGGACTCACCAGGCTGCGGCCGAGGTCCACCAGGCGAGGCTCAGGAGATCGGCCACAGTGGGCTGTGGGTAAAGAGGGGGCAATGAGCCAGCAGGTGCCCATGAGGGGCACTGGGGACATACCCTGAGTCCCTGAGCTCCCAGACCAGCTGGAATGCACCATCCCCGTGGGTGCTCACCACGAAGACGCCGCGGGGCGCCGCGCCCGTGTTGCTGGGGGCCTCGGGGGCACAGACGGACTGGAAGTCGTAGGACTCCTTACGGGCATAGAAGGAGTTGTTGTAGAGGGCAGACATCAGGTTGGCATCCACTTCGCTGAAGAACTTGCCCACCTGAAATGGGAACACCGAATCTGCACTCAAATGCCACCTTGGCATGGACTCCCCTGGAGGGGACCCGAGTGGGCTGTGTCACGGCCACGAGCTCAAGGGTTCAGCTCCTCGCTGGCATCCATGCCCAGGAGAGCTGCGGGCACCCTCACCTGGTACCAATGGTCCTCCTGGTTGGAGAGCACCAGGAAGCCCCCATCATCAATGAGGACACAGATGAGGTCCTGGGGAAGAAGAGCAGTGTCATCCAAGCCTGGCCATGCCCAGGGCAAGGCAGGACCAGCAGGGGGGTGTACCAGGCTGTTAGGCAGGGTGGCCAGCACAGTGTCCCCAAGCCTCAGAAGCATCTCAGTGCCATGAGCACCTATGCTGGGTGCAGGGAGCAGGAGACACCATCCACCCTGGGGGTTTAACAGCTCTCTCAAGGGGTCCACCGTCCATGGGGCAACCCCAGGCCTTCATCCCTGTGAGGTGGGCTGGGTCTGGCTGAGCTTGGGGAGCAGCAGGGCACAGGGTGGGTGCAGAGGCTGGGTAAGCAGGGGACAGGGACCTCTCCCAGCCAGTCCATACACCCCCACCAGCTGCCCCCACCCCTGCCCACCACCCACCTTGTTGTTGGCCTCACAGTCCATCTCACAGCTGCTTGAGGGGTCACACTGTCAACCAAAAGCAGGGCAGAGGGACAGGTTAGCAGGATGGTCATCCCCCCAGAGATGTCCTCCCAGCCAGAAGGGGACATGCAGGGTGGTGTCCCCAGAGGCTGGGGACAGGAACCCTGAGGAACAAGCCCATTGCAACCACAGGCAGCATGTCCCAGCAGTGCCCCCAACAAGCAGAGCTCCCTCCCTGCCCTGTTCCCTGGCTGTGCCAGCCCCAGGACATACCCGGCGGGTGCCCAGCTGGTCTCGGTCTGTCCGGTTGCTTGCCAGCACTTTGAACTTCTCAGCCCAGGCCTCCAGGTCCAGCTTCACCCCCACCACTGGGGCAGTTGGGAGACAGGGTGAGCTGTAGCCTGGAGGGGTTGCAGGGACCCCCCAGCCTGGCACCAGGGCACCCAGCTCCCTGCCTACCTGCGGGCTTCAGAGTCTTGCCCCCGATGCTGAGCTCCACGGCGGTGCTCACCAGGATCCCAATGGTGTTGTTCTCCAGGTCCAGCCCCCGGTAGCCAGCTGTGGAAGGCAGGGGTGACATCAGGGGACATATGGAGCCAGTGCTAGCCTGGGTCACACCTTGTCACCCTGAGCTGGCACCCACCATCTCGGTAGGGTGGCTTGAAGATGTAGCCCTTGTTGTCCAGGCTCCTCCGGTAGAAGCTGGCGTTGAAGGGCTCCGGTTCCTCCTCCCAGTCATCTGCAGCCCTGGCAGGGAGAAGCCACAGCCATGGCTGTCACTGTCATCCCTGGGCCATCACTGTCATCCCAGAGATGGCCCAGCAGGAGCAGACACATCACTGTGCAGGGCAGACACTCACTTGTTAGGGAAGACACGGGTGATGCCCCCGTCGGTGGCTGCAAAGACAGCCAAGAGGCTGTACCTGCAAAGAGAGGGGCCAGGTACCAGCCATCAGTGGGGTGTTGCTCTGCCCCTGCCTCCACAGCCCATCCCAATCCTCATCTGTCCCAAGACAGTGCTGCCCACCCCAGGCTATCTCCCCTCCACTTACGTGTTGAGGTCCTGGTCCTTCCAGACTTGCTCCACCAGCTGCTGTGTGATACCCGTGTCCAGGATTAGGTTGTGCAGGAGGAAGTTGTCGCCTTGGAGAGGAGGAGGAGGTGAGAGCTGACCCCATGAGGGCCACCCATGTGCCCAGTTCTGTCCCAGCACCCACTGTGCAGCAGCTCCCAGGATCCCAACCCCAGCACAGTTTATCCCCTGCTCCATCTCCCCTTGAATCCCCCTCCACCCCTGACCTCCCAGCAGCCCCCCAGCAGCCATCCCAGCTACTCACACTGCTTGGAGTCTGGGGTCACCTTTTCCATGAGGGCAATAAAGTTTTCCAGGAATTCGGTGTTGTTATCCGACAAGTCGAGGTCTTTGCAATACTCTCTGGGGTTTGGGGGACAAGGTTTGTCGTTCGTGGGGATGGAAAAGGTAAGGTCAGTTCTGCCCCGGGGACGGCGGGGTGGGTGCTGGCTGTGCTGCCAGCACCCAGGCTTGACAGGACACAATGGTGGTGACGTGCCACCACTCCTGGGAGTGTCACCCCGCCAGGGGAACTGGCTGTGGGCATCTCTGCAGACTGCCTGGTACCCAGCCCCTGCTGCCTGCAGTGCCACCAGAGAAGCGTCACACCAGTCACCAGGTCTGTCACTGCCACAGGCACTGAGGTGCTGTCACCTCTGCCAGGGCAAGGTTTGAGGGATCCTGGTTTGCCCAGAACGGTACAACACCGAGTCCATCTCTCCCCATACTGCTGGGGCTACTGGTGGGACTGGGTGTCCACACAGAGACAGTGTCTCTGACACCGTACTTACCTGTGGGGCAATGCCCACCCTGCCCTGCCCCTGCAGCACCCAGGGATTGGGGTTCCGCTGTGGGTGCCAGCAGGGATTTGCCTCGGGATTCTCCACAGCTGCACTGGCAGCAGCAGGCAGGCACTCGAGGCCCTTTGCACAGATGGTTGGGTGCTGGCTGAGCCCCAGCTGGCAGAGATGGGTGCTCGCCCAAGGGCATCACTGGCCCTGGGACACTCCTGGGACAGGCAGTAAGTATGGTGGGTGCCATGTCCCTGAGGCAGTCTGGAGCACCCTGAGCGCAGAGTCCCAGCCCCACCGAGGCCAGGGACAGCTGTAACCTGGTGGTCGCCACGAGACTCTGACTGGGTGGCACAGGTTAGTGCCACCCCAGTGTGCCAAGAGCCTCCTGTCCTCAGCAGTGAATAGTACCAGGGTGTGGCTGTGAATAGTACCAGGGTGCTCAGGGCTCCCCCACTCACAAGCCCTCCACCAAGCTGCCAAAAGCTCTGTCATTCAGAGGACAAGTGGAGCAAAGGGTGGCAGGGAGCATGCCCACAGGGCAGCTGAAAAAGGTGAGGCACCCTGCCCAGCTCGGCCCGGCCCCTCAACCCCTGTTCGGGGGGGAACAGCCACCTAAGTATCTCCACCGACACGCACAGATACAGGTACTCACACACCCACGGGGGACGGGGATATACGGTTTCTGAAAATTTCCAGAGGCCCGTGGGCGCGGCAGCGCCGGCGGCAGATCATACAGTCGCCCTGGGTGCCGGGCATGCCCCGGCACACGGCTCCTCCCTGCCCCTGCCCCTGCCGGGCAGCTCCCCGCAGCAAGGAGCCGCTCCGGGCTTACCAAAGGGCTCGTCCTGACTTCCACACCCGCTGTTCTCTCCAGCTGCAGAGTCTGCAGAGCCCCACGCCGGACACTGAGCCCGGCACTGCAGCCTCAGTGGGTGCAGCCCCGCTCCTCGGGCCTTGGGCATCCCCTCCCTGTCCATGCTCTCGGAGTGCTTACGGGCAATTTTCAATAACAGCTTTCCTGTTTCTCATTCACGCTCTGCTTTGGCTCCCGTGTGTCCTGGACTCCACCCCCGCTGCCCAGCAGAGGGCCTGGGGACTCAGCTCCCCAAAAAGCCAGCGCTGCACAGTGACTGCACATTCCGGGCGGGTTCACCCAGCGCTGGTGTGAGTGAGTACTGCTGTGGGTCGGGAGGGTGGGGGGTGCCCGTGCTGGACCTCAACCCACTGCAATCCCCAAAAGCTGCACTGGCAAAACGTCCCCTAACAGGACGTTCTGCTGCTATAACAACCTATGAGCAGATAGGTGATTAGCTGGTGATGTTAATTAGGGCTGGTCAGAGACTGCACTGTAGTGGCGGGAAGGGCGGGGTGCTGGCAGAGCCATGGGGCTCCCCAGACAACCCACTGAAGGATGGCCCTGCATCCCCGCTAGGTGACAAGACCGGGCGGCATGGCCCAGGGGAGGGGGCATGTCTGTCTGTCAAGGGGCTGCTACGCTCTCCTCAAGCCCCCAAACCCCCTGGGCATTCCAAATTAGGGCCGAAACCTCCCCCTCCTTCTGCCTCCCCCCCGCAGCCAGCACGACTGTATGATGCCGCCGGCGGCCCCTCGCTGGGCAGGATTTTCAGAAACTATACCTATATATGCACGCGCAGAGGTCGGGCTGCACCGGGTGCATATATACTGTGATAGACTGCGCTGGATGCAACCGGGGGGCGCGGCGGGGCCGGGGTCCCGGCGGCAGCCCCGCGGCCGAGCGGGCACACGACACACACAGCCACAGGGCACGGGGAGCGGGACAAGGCACGATGAGGCGAGGATGGGGCGATGGTGGGGTCGGCAGCGGGGCCGGGGCGGATGCACACCTCGGCAAGCGCACACGCAAAGCTACCTGGGAGCAATGAACACATGTCCCTCCGACTCAAAGTTGTTGGGCAGCAGGTATTCAAAATCTGCAACAGAAAGGGAAGGTTATCCGGCGGGGAGCGGGGACGGGGGCGCCGAGGGCCAGGAGGGAGAGAGACGGACAGAGAGAGAGAGAGAGAGAGGGGAGGGAACAAAAAAAGAAATAAAAAAAGAAAAAGGCATTTGCTGCTCTTGCTAACAAGAGAGGAAGGAAAAGGCCGTTCTGCTGTTGCTGGCACCGCACGGGAAGGAAGGTTAGAGCCAAATCAGGAGAGGTTTGCCCATCTCGGCTCGAATTTGCTCGGTGGCGGGCTGAAGGCGCGCGGTGCGTGCGCGCGGCCGTACGCAGGGACACACAGACACACACACATATATATATGTGCGCACATGTATATATATATATATGCATGTTCGGGAGGGCGGGGGGACGTCTCTCTCTCGGGGGAGGGGTGGTGGGCGAGGGCAGGGAACCACATGCTTCGCTCCTGGCCGGAGGAGGATCACCAGAACACTCGGTTGTCGGGAGAAAAAAAATAAAGGGAGTTTTCAGGCATCGACATGGCCAGAGGGGAACCTTGCCGAGGACAGTCCAACCAGAGGCTCCCGCCCTGCTGCGGGGCCGTGCAATGCGCTGACGGGCCCCGCTGCCGGGCACCGGTGTCCCCTCCCTCCCCGGGGCGGTGGTACCCCAGTGCGGACGGGGATCCGCGCTCGCCCGCCAGCGCGCTCTGCTTTAACAGGGGTGCAGCCCAGCAGCTTTGGGGTGTCTCTGGGATTGCCCCCGGCAGAAGAGACAGAGGATGCAGGGCTCAGCCCGTGGGGGCGAGCCGGGTTAGGGGGTGCACGGAGGGGTGCTATGGGACACCCCTGGGACAACATCTCCCCCACGACGGGCACTGCCACCCCCTTGCCCTCCCGCCAGCTCCTGGTGCATTGCACGGCACAGCCAGAGGTTGGACTGTTGCTCTCTGAGGGCTGGAGGCAGGGGCTGGGTACAAGCCGATGAGAGGAAGAAGAGGAGGAAGAGGAGTACAAACACTCGTACTTGGTCCATCAGCATTGCCATCACAGGGGCGCTGGGAGGAGGCAACTCAAGGCTGATTGAACAGGGCTGAGGGTGACACTTCCACCTCCCCACTGTCCTGCCCGCCTGGCCCTGGTCCCCTCCTGTGCTGCAGTGCCCCCCCAAGCCGTTTCCCTGCCTGTGCCAGGGAGGGGGTGCTGCCGGGCAGGCTGCTGGTGGGTGCCGTGTGCTGGGGGCTGTGTGGGATGGAGAGTGGTGGCAGGTCCCATGGGCACCGTGTGTGCCGGGTGTCCCCTGGCCCACTGTGGGGCTGTGCGGGAGTTGTGGGTCAGGAGGCCCCTCTGGCATTGAGGGAATGTGGGCCAAATCCTGTGTCACGTGGGTGATGTCCTGCTCCACTGCAGGGGGAGACCGACTGTCACTTCGGCTTGCCTTGGTGGGACTTTGGGCTCAAACTTGGCTGCTCCCAGGGGCACAGACAGCACCAGGACACTGTACCTTCAGTGGTACAGTACACTGTACCATGCCATGCTGGTCCCCAGGGCAGGGGGGACGGCCACCGAGCAGCTGTGGGGGCTGGCAGTGTGGCCCCCCTGGGCTCAGCCATCCCTCGTGCCCCTGGGCCAGGCTCGCTGTCACCTGTGCAGCTGGGAGGCACTGCCCAGGTGGTCCCATCCCATCTCTGCAGAGGGTTCCTGCTTGTAGGCTTTCCCCAAAAAGCCTGTCCCAGAGGCTGATGGCAGCGGTGGATTGGGCCCCCCACCTGTCCTCCATCCCTGCCACCTTTGGGCACCCGCCCCACAGCCCCCCGCTCCCTGCACAGCCCTATCCCTTTCAGGTTGAGTTGTCTTGGGGAGGAGGAAGCAAAGGAGCCAGGAGAGGGGGAGAAGGAGTTGGAGGAGACGAGCGGGAGAAGAGGAGCAAGAAGGGGCAGCACTGGGGAGGAAGAGCAGGGCATCCAACTAGCTACAAAATCCTCGTGGATCGAAAACGGCAGTTTCATACAAGATCGGCTCTTGAACGATATCGAACCGGGTTTGGGAGTGATGCGCAGGGAGGGAGTGGGATTTTCGTGACAAAGCTCTCATGAACAGAACAAGACATGTTGCTTTCAAATAAAGGGGGGGGACTGGAGGAGAGGAGGAGGAAGAGGAGAAGGAGAAGGGAGGAAGGGCGAGTTGGTGGCGGTTTGCAGGTTCGGCGTGGCAAACGGGCAGGGAGATGGGCAAGCAGGGGGCTGGGGGGGACTGGACACGGGGCAGGGGACGGGGTGGTGAAGGTGAGTGGTCTGAGACTGAAAATACTTGCCCTTCATTTTGATGTTTGGTACTGTGTGAATCCACCATAGAGAGAAAGCAAGAAAAACAACAAACAAAAAACAACAAACAAAAAAAAAAAGGGGTTGGGTGGAAAGGGGGAAGGGGGGCACAAACAATATTTTATTCAATCGACGTTTGAATAAAAATATTGTGCACTATAATCATACCAAAAGGAAACCTCTTGCAAAAAACGACATGAAGAAAAGAAAGCATAAGAAAAACCCAGTAACAAAAGGAAAAGAAAAGGCCACGGTGAAATAAGAACAAAAAAAATGCAAAGATATAACTAGAGAAATATATAGATATATATTCAATACTCCAAAGGAAAATGAGAATCAGTAGCAAACAGTTGCAACAGTCTTGATATCAAAATGTCCTCACTGAGTCAGGAGGCATGCACGGCACGGTGGGCAGAGCTGGGGAGGATGGGGGGGATCCCCCCTCCCGGGGATGGGGACAGCCTGGCCTTGTCCCCACAGGGACACAGGGCTCCTGCCCATGGATGGAGGGGGTGCAGGGGCTGGATCTGGAGTGGGGCTGGGGTCGGGCCACTGGGGCGGCCGAGGGGGAGAAACAGGGGGAACCGGAGGGGAGAGGGGAAGGGTCCAGTTCTCCCATGGGGAGAGGGTCCCTGGGAGCAGCGTGGACCTGAGGTGGGGAAAAGGCTTGGGGGTCAGGGGAAAGAGAAAGAGAGAGAAAGGGGGGCCAGGCTAACACACACGTACACAGATTAATTCCAAACAAAAATCGAAACCAACCGAAACCAAACTCATAAAAAGAATAAATGGCTTAAACTGAAACCAAAGTATCGTAATAAACCAAAGGAAATTAAAGAGATCCATGCAAACTTCCCCAGCTCACAAATTATCTGGCTGCCACAGCGGCATCCCTCGTCCCCGGGAGGCGAGCAGGAGCACCTCCCTGCCTCGCCTGCCTGAGCCCCGGCCTGGGGCTTCGGCTGCAGAGCCAAAGGACCAAACCCTGCCCCGGGGCACCCCAGGCAGGCAGCTCGCTCTCCCTCTGTGTGCTCACCTCTACTCAACGCCTCTCTTAGCGCTAGTTTTTGTTTTGCCTCTCACAGTGATCCCTATGACCTTTCCCAAGCCTTTGGTTTGTGTTTCTCCCCCCGACAGCCACGGGCTGGAGTGGGGTGAGGGGGAGTGTGAGAGGGCAGCAGGGAGAGCCAGGGGCTACTTACACTTCACTTGCAGGATCTGGTCGCTGAGGTTGGCCTGGATGTAGTAGGTACTGTAGGGAGGCAGAACCAGCCCCAGGCTGTGGAGAGGGAGAGCAGACATCTGGAGTAAGGCTTTACACCCACCCAGAATCCTTGGCCAGCTCCCAGTTCCTGCCTGAACTGCTGGCAGCAGCCTGACCCAGGAGATGGCAGGCAGCAGCCCCACTGGCCTCCTGCACAGCCTGCTGCATCCTTCTCTCCAGGAACTGCAGCCAGCACTGTCCTGAGGCATCCAGAGTCATCCCCAGAGCACCCAGGGTCATCCTGGGGTATCCAGGGTCATGCCCAGAGCACCCAGGGCAATGCTGAGGGAACACATGGTCACAGAAGTTGGCACACCTGCCTAGCTAGGGCTGAGATGGGCAGGATGTGCGAGCCCAGGAACTAAGGGGGATGAATGTGGAAGAGGAATACAACATCCCTGTGAGGGAGGAAGGCACAAAGAGACACAGCCCATGAAAGAAGGGACAAAGCCTTCCCAGACTGGAGAAACCAATGACAACCATTCTACAGGCACCAGAAGTCAGATATGTCATGAACAAGAGTGATCTGCCAGCCAGGAGTCTGGCATGCAGGGAGCGGGACAGGGTGGGAAAGGAGATAGCAGGAGGTGGTGTTGGGGCTGCTTAACCCACAGGACATGCTGCTAGAGGGAACTGGACTCCTTGATGCCAGCTGCAGTGGCCATTGGCCTTTGGTGACAGTGTTTGTGCCAGGTGCTGTCAGGAGTGAGCAAGGACCACATTCCTGACTCTCATCGGATGTAACACCTGCACCAGAGCCACTGGATCTGGGCTTCCCCCCTAAAGCAGCCCTTCAGATAACCCTGTCTGTGTTGGCAGCACGGGCACAGTCTGGGCATTGCAGCCAGCACAGCAGAGCTGGTGGCACCCCAAGCCACAGGAGTCAGGAAAAGGGTGGTGGCTTTTTCTGTTCAGTGTTGGTGGCACCCTGTGCTGACGGCATCCCAGGCAAACCCAGGAAATATCTCTGCTGCAGAGCAGTGGGTAGTGGCTGTGACTCCTGCCAGCCCCTCCTGAGCTGGGTGGTGAGGAGGAGGAGGAGGAGGAGGAGGAGAGCACACTGGGCAACAGGGGCTCACAAGGCTCCTCCCAGGATGAAGGCAGCATGAGTTGAGAAATGACGATGTCAGGGTCTTTCTTACACATCTGCTGGTCCAAACTGGTGCAAACTGGGTGATAAAATGCAGAACTTTGCTGTCCTTTGGCTCTAAAGACACTGCCTATGCTGCAGCGTGGGCACATGTCACTGTCACCCACCCTAGAGCAGGCAGGGACCTGCACGAGCCCCTGCCTGGGCAGACAGGAGGTGGCAGATGTGTCACTTGTCTGGCCCCTTGCATGCCAGCCCTGCAGCCTGTCTGGAGTCCTGGGGGCTGTGTCCAAGCTCTACAGTGCCTAACACCGGCAGGCAGCCCCTTCAGGAGCACCCTTCCAGCACATCCCTGCCCGTGAGCAATAACGTGGCAGTGCATTTGCAACCTCACAGCCCGTGGAACACATCCCTGCTGGCCTCGGGGACTTTGGGAGCTGCAGGCACAAGCCCCCAGGCCTGTGCTGGTGTGGGTGCAGCCAGTGCAGGGCAGTCTGGGTGCACTGGCTGTGACACTCACCTGTAGTTGGTGCTTTTGATGGGAGCCCACGTGTAGGTCCGGAACACCTCGTCGATGTATTGCTGTGGGTCAGAGGTGGCCAGTCAGGGCTGGGCACTGCCAGGGCTCTGCTGGCACAGTGCCACAGGGCCCTGGCTCCCTGCCCGGTGCCAGACACAGCCCCTCATCCCCACTGCTGGTTCTGGGTGCTCAGCACAGTGACAGTTCCAGCCGTGACCCCCTCCCCTGCAGTTACCTCGTCCAGGGACTTGATGAGGGTCTTGATGAACCTCTGCCCATCATTCCCATCAATCATGCTCCTCCGGATCTGTGGGACACAGAGGAGTCAACTGAGTGCCACAGAGCCTGCCCATGCACCTGTGGGCACCCATGGGGTGCAGGGGGAGCAGCTTGGGGAGGTCCATCGTGCTAGCACCCAGGGGACAGTGACCCAGCTCCCGTCCCCACTGTGGCTCCATGGGAGCTGTGCCAGGACTCTAAGGATGAGACTCTCTGCAGGGCAGGTTGGAGGGACTGAGTGCCCTTTGCAACTGCAGATGAGGGGGCCAGCCTGTGTCCCAGAAGCTGTCCCTGTTCTGCTCACCTCCTCCTTGTTTTCATCCTCCAGTTCAGCATCCAGGAAGTCCAGCGTCACTGGCTCACGGAAATTGATGATCTGCAGGAAGAAAGGGAGAGCCAGGGAAGGGCTCAGGGCTCCTGCAGCCACTGCTGAGTCCAGACTAACTCATCACAAGCCCCACAACTAAGTCCTAAGGAGCCTGGAAAGCCCCCAGGGCCTGGCTGATCCCCAGGGCTGCTGCCCCTGTGGGCCCCTGCTCACCTGGGGCCGCAGGTTGGGGTGCAGCAGGACGTAGCCGTTCAGGTCGATGGCGAAGACGTAGCCATTGGCCCCCAGCTGCAGGAGGACAGGAGGAGGGGTGAGGCTGACCAGGTGGCTCTGTGGCATGACACACTGTGCTGGTGTCACCACCCTCACCTCTGTAGGCAGAGCTCGACCCACATCACCCCCAGGGCTCAGCCCATTCCATCCATTCATTTTCACCTCTGCAGGCAGAGCTCGACCCATGTCACCCCCCAGGGCTCAGCCCATTCCATCCATTCATTTCTATTCTCAGGACAGTGCAATCTGCCACTTCTAGGGTGAGAGTTTGGCTCTGGATTTTTCCCATGCTCCTTTCCCCAGGCCTGTAAGGTTTATTCCCTGCTGACCCTACAAGGGTTTTGCCTCTGCACTGAGTCCCAGAGCACCATGCAGCTTTGATCCCTGCTCTGCTGCCTGTCCCAGTGCCTGCCTGCTCCCACAGCTTCTGCTGGGTGCCAGTGCTGCTGGAGGTGCTCTGGATTGCTGGGGCACAGCTTGGGGCTCCCATCAGAGGGATCCCACACCAGCATCAGGCAGTGCAGGGCAGGGACAGAGGGGAAGGGGCCCCCACGCACGTTGTAACGCGGCGTCAGCCTCTTGATGTCGTTGAGAGCCACATCGATCCCCATCACGCCCAGGATGAGCTGGTTCTGGAAGGAAATGCAGGATGGAGGTGGGTGGGACCAGTGCTGTCACCTGCCACCACCAGCCCAGGGACAGGGAAGCAGCAGGACGGACCACTTCTCCTTCTGGGGACGTGTGGGTCAGATGTGGATACTGCAGGGGCACAGCGGGGGATGTACCAGCCCCCAGTGACACTGCACCCCCCAGGGGCTCTCAGCTGTCAGTTGTCCCAGCTGAAATGTCAGAGCTAGCCAAGGTAACTGTGGGTGCCAGGGACGGCAGTCACCCCAGTGTCACTGCAGGGAGGTGGTGCAGAGCAGGCAGCACCCCAGGGATGCCTGTGTCCCCCCTGCAGCCACACACACATCACCAGGGCACCTTCCCCTCCCCACAGTGGCCCCACCAGGGCTCCCAGAGGCAGTAGAGTCTCCTACCTTCCTGTCACTGCTGTCCTCCGTCAGGTTGAACACTGGCAGAGTTCCTGTCACCACCAGGCCCAGCCCCTGCACAAGCACAGAATGGTGTCCCACAGCCCCTCACTGCCCCAGGACCCAGGGCTGGGGGTGGGCAGCAGAGGGGGGGTTACTCCCCTGACAGGGGAGATGGGCATGTCCTGTGCAGGACCCTGGGGCCGGTGTCCCTGTCCACCCGCACCCTGGAGTTCTGTGGGACCCCAGGATCAGTGTCCCAAACTGCACCCTGGGGCTGGTCCCCACCCATGTGCCCCTTGGGGCAGTATGGGACCCTTGGGCTGGGGGTCCCTCCCTGCCCCCCAGGGCTGGGGGGTCCTTACCAGGGCATCCTGGTAGACATTGGTCCACTGGACCTGCTTGGCTCGGTTCCCAGCCAAGACCATGGGCCTGCCCAGCACATCCAGGTACTCCTGCAGGGACACAGGACACGGGAAAGGACGATGTGGGAGACAGAGGTCTCCTTGCTCCAGCCCGGTGACACCCTTGTCCCTAAGCACACCCCAGGAATCTTAATGGGGGAGCTTGGGGAGGGGGCTTGGCAGCCACCAAACCTGGGCACTGGCTCCAGCTGGGACCCCTGCAGGCCCATTAAGATGCACACAAGTGCTGCTCACCACTGGCCATGCACTGGCAGGGCAGGGGCTCCCCAGGCAGCACCAGCCAGAGCCCCCCAGCCATTCCAGGGGCTGGGATTGCTCCATCATGCCTGGACCATGTCACTATTGTCTCCCTGGCTGCCATCTTCTCCTGGGGCAGGTTTCCCTCTTCCTGTCTCACCTTGCCAAGGAAGATCTCTGGGTGGGGAGAGAGCCCCCATGCCACAATGCCAGCCCAGCCCTGCCCTCATCACCTGCCTTCACGGCACCTCGTGCACATCCCATAAAGAAAAGGGGCAGAAAAGAGGCAGTGAGAGGAGGTGTGGGGCAGACACAACCAGCTCTGCCAGGCTTGGCTCTGCCCACCCTCACTCCCTGCCCACGCTCAGCTCTGCTCTGTGCTGATTAACGCCTGATGTTTCATAATTAGTCACTCAAAAGGCAGCAGGTCCGTGGGGAGCCGCAGAAGATGAATTACTTAATAGCGCAGGGCCTGGCTGAGGGCTCAGCTCAGCTCCCCAGCTTGCTGCCACACTCACTGCAGCCTGTGGGCTCTCCCCAGTGGGGCTGGGGCTGCCTGAACCCCCCCCAGGCAGGGCAGCCCATGAGGGCTCTGCCTGGCTCCTGGCTGTACCTGTGTGTTAATGCGGATGGCGCCGATGGAGGGGATTTCGAAGTAGTAACCTTGGAAAAGAAAGAGAAAGGCAGCTGAAGATCCAGCTGTCCAGCAGCCCCTCCCTGCAGGGCTGCAGCCAGGCCTTTGCTGGCAGTGGCACCCACTGGAGCCGAGGGGTGAGCCCAGCAGCCTGCAGCCCCCGTGCCTGCTGGCTGCCAGCCCCGCTCACCTTTGTTGGCACAGGCCATCCACTGCAGCGGGGTCACGTCGTAGTTGTGCTGCCCCACGGAGAAGGTGAAGACCCGCACCTGTGGCAGAGCGTGCACTGAGGGACATCCACTGGGGCACCCTTGTTTTCCACACCTGGTGCACCTAGCCAATGACAACCTCCCCAGGGACAGTGTGGCATTGCCTGCCATGGCCCACAGAGTGAGTGCAGGTGGGCAGAAGACTCCTGCAAGTGCTGGCTGTGCTGGCAGCAAGGGAGTCCCTGTCTCCCTGCCTGGCCCCAGCCAGTCCTGCCCTCCCACATCACTTTGTTGGCTCAAGTCTCCCAGCTCAGTGGTCCTTGCTGTGGGCATCACTGCTCCCAGAGGGGTCTGTGCTCTCTGAGGGTGATACACGGGCCACAACACCCCCACCCCACAGGTTTCCAGGTCCTGAGCAGCAACTGAGACCTTCCTGCTGGCTCGCCTGCCTGCCAGCAGCCCTGTCCCCATGCTTGGGGTGTGCTCCCCTCAGGGCCAGCATTCAGGGAGCCCACCAGCCCCATTCCCTCCCCAGCATCCCACAGTGTGCTGGGTCCCACAGGAAGGTGGGAGCCAGCTACAAACCCATTAGCAGGGCAGTGGCTCCATGCAGGAGCAGGCTGTTGGGGAGGGAGGATGGCAATGAGGCAGATGGAGCAGAAGCCAGCAACGGAGCTGGAGCAGCCATCTCCCTCTGTGGTGAGCTGCCCCAGCCCAGCACACAGACCCACGGCCTCTCACCGTCTTATTGGGCCAGTTGTACTTCTCAAAGACGTCCTGCACTCGGTCCTCGCCGCCGTCCGTGAACATCATGATCATCTTGTTGCAGTTGGCACGTGTGATGTTGGACTGTGGGGCAGACACGGCACCTGAGGCCACACCTGCAGCCAGCAGTGCTGGGCACAGGGCTGGATGCAGCCCCAACCCACCTCTTTCCCCAGCCCATTTCTCTGGGGCGAGGGTGACCTGGCTGAATGGGCAGGAGGGACACTGCCAGCTGGGTAATGATGTTGTGGCTAATGCCATTCGGCACCTAACAGCACCATTCATCTTTATCTTGCCTCTGGCATGGTGTCTGGTTGGGTCTGGCCCCTCCACCCAGCCCTGCTAACTTTGAATAACCCAGAGGGGAGTAGCACCAGCAAAACCTTGGCTACAGCACGCCTGGAGGTGGGATGTCTCCCCCAGCATTGAGAAGGAGCACAAGCAGCCCTCAGCACAGGGCAGCAGCCAGGCACTTGGAGCTGTCCCACTGTCCCCAGCACCCACAGGTGCACCCGTCCCCCACCCACGGCCCAGCCCCAGCTCACGTTCTGCAGCTGGTCGAAGGCGTACTCAAAGCCAGCCTTGTAGTCTGTTGTGCCCTTGGCCACCATGCCCTGCACGTCCTCCTTGAACACCTTCTTGTTTCGGATGTTGGCCTGCACCAGGTGCTTGAAGCACGACACCGGCTTTGCCTTCTCGTTGAACTGCGAGGTGAAATGGAGGGGAGTGGGTCACAGAAAGGGGACTGGACACCAGCAGGCACAAACCACTCATCACACTCAGCTCTCATGGGCAGCAGGTGACCCAGACGTGTCCCACATCCCAGGGAGGGCTGATGCTGAGGCTGAAGTTTGGCTAGGGACAAATCCAGCACTGAGCTGTGGGGTGGGTGCTGGCAGTGGGTGCTGACCACTGCAGGAGCCCCAGCTTGTGCAGGCAGCCGTGCTGTGCTGCTCTGTGCTGGCAGCAGGAGCAGGTGCTGCCTCTCACTCACAGCTTCATTTACCGGCAATGGGGCCCATTCATTAGGGGAGCGGCGATCCAGGAACAGAGCCAGGCCAGACATGCTAATTAGTGCCCGTGCTGGTGGCCAGACAGGGGAGGGGCAGTCAGGGACACGCAGATGTGGTGGCATGGCCACTGTGCTGCGTGAGGTCACAAGCTGGTGACATAGCCATGGGGTGCCAGCGGCTGGTGACAGGAGGTGGCTGGCTGGGATCATGCAGGAACATCTCTGCCAAACGCCCCGCGATAGGGGCAGCTTTTGTGTCCTGAGCCCTGAGCGTGAGTTTCCTTGCTTATGTGCAGATGGGTGGTTAAGAAGACAAAAAATGGTATTTCTGTCTGCAGAGCCCTTAGCCCGGTGTGTGTGGGGGAAAAGGGTTCCTGTGCTGGGGAGCTGGGAGGTGCCTGGGGACAGCCCTTTTTCTTGCCCCACTCACCGAGGCCACATTGACATAGTCATCATCTGAGAGGGTGTCCAGCATCTCATAGACCGAGGTCTTCATCAGCTTGAGGGTGAGGCCGCTCACACTGCCACTCCTGCAGGAGACAGGGGTGCTGGGGGCTTGGCAGCGAGGCAGCACAGGGCCGTGCTGTCCCCCACGGCTTCCCTGTGGCCACTGGTGGGACAGTGGCATCTTGGGGAGCTGTGCCACCATCCTGGCTTAAGCCCAGCCATGGCCCCCAGCGTGTACTCACACGTCCACAATGATGACCATGTCCTTTGGGGAGGAGGCACCTTGGATGTACCTGTGGGGTACAGAGTGGGGTCAGCAAGGTCGACTCATTTCAGGGGGACCCAGACTCTGCTGGGTGCAGCCCAAGAGCGAAGCCCTGCCAGGGCACAGGCACTGGGGAGCTGTGCAGGGAGCTCTGGGCAGCCAGGGCTGTGGTGACCCCACGGCAAGGAGCAGGGACGAGGTGGCCGTGGGCAGGTGGCAGCGAGGACGCAGCTCCCGTGGCACAGCACAGCAGACAGCCAGCGACTGCTGCTCCACACTGTGTCAGCCTAATGAGCTCTAAATGCTAAACTCTTCCATCATCGCAGGCCCTTTCCTGCGTGCTGATTATGCTGACACACACATCCATATTAAGATGCTATTTACCCCCCTGGTAGCTTCAAAGGCCAGGCTGATTAGGTTATTTTTAGCTACAAGGAGGAAAAATAATAACACTACGTAAATCTTCCCCACTGAAAACAATTAGGGAACCCTTCCTCACCCCTTGAAACAACTGGTCCTGCTCCCAGCCCTGCTGTGCCATCCTTGTGGGAGGGGCTGGCACAGTGCTTAGCACCCATCCCATCCCACCCCAGACATGGCCACGCACGGCCCCACCTCACCATGCCATTGCAGCAGGCCTGACCCTGCCCTGGCTGAAGGCCAAGGGAACCTCATTATTGGCTTGATCAGGATCGGGCCTCGTGTGAATTAATTAGTGTGTTATTAGTATCAATTACTCACCACTACTGGGGAGGACTGGGGAAGGGGCAGGCTCTGATTGTTAATCCCAGGGCCTGATGTTCCCTAATTACAAGTGATTAGCCGGGTGGGATGCAGGATGCTGGCACATAGGGCTCTCCTGACATGGGTGCAGCATCTCCCAGCAGCTTCCTCTCGTGCTGGGGTGAGGACAGGCAGCTGCCCACGGGGTTCCTCCCTGCCGGCATGCGAGGGGGCTCTGGAGCCTGCCCTGCTCCCGGGGCCGGGCTGCTGGTGCAGCACAGAGCCCAACTAAGATGCTGCCCGTAATGGGTTGTGGCAGCACATCCATCTCCGGCTGCCCGGCTCAGATGAATACCCTGGGCTCGGCAGGAGACGGCTGTGGCTAATGGGGCCATTCATCAGGGGAGGGGAAGGCGGCGAATGGCACCCGTGGCTGCGGCCAGGATCGTGGCCCTGGAGCAGTGTCCTGCATGGGGCCCCACTGAGGGCAGGAGAAGGCCCCAAAGAGGGTCCCCCCAGGTGTGCTGTCCCCCAGCATGGAGGGTGCTGCTGCTCCTCCATGGCAGGGTGGACAACCCGGTGGCCAGCCTGGTTAGTGGGCAGAGAGCTGGGCTCAGTTGCCTCCATACACATCAGCAGCCCCCACCCCAAAACAGTCTTCCAGTCCCTGCTCTGCAATAACCTGCACAGGCACCCCAGCAGGGAACAGTTAATAATTAATGTGAGCAATCAAAGGCAATTAACCATAGTAGCAGAGCCATTAATTTTCTGACAAGGAGAGGGGGCAGCTCCTGATGTGGGCAGGAGGAGGATCCATTAGGATACAGGGCTCCCTGGACATGTGCCAGAGGCCTGTGCCCAGTCTCTTCTCCATGACTGCAGTTTCAGGCAGCAGGTGTGGGCAGGATGGGGCTGTTGCTCCCCCAGCTGATAACCAGCACTGCCACACCAACACCTCCAGCTGGGCTGAGGGGAGCCCATTCAACCCCGGCTCACTTGGTGTGGGCTAAACGGCTGCTCAGCTATCACTGAGCCACAGCCTGCTGCTGCCTGCCCATTCATCTCCCCATCCTCCCAGCTCACGTTTTCCAAGCCAGTTGTTATCTCATGTGGATGGGAATGCTGGCCAGGATCAAGTGCCAGCAGCCATGGCAGTGGTGAGGGGGCACAGGGCTCTTTCCACACTTTCATCTGCACCCAAGGATTTATCTCTCCATGCTGCTCCGCTTTGCCAGGAAGAGGGAAGGGGAGAAGGAGCCAAGTGCCACAGCTCAGATGCCCCCGCCTGTGTTACGGTGTCCCTTTGCCAGTGCCAAAATGCAATGGAAAGGGGAGGGAGCTGATAGCTCCCAGCCAGGACCCTCCTCCCACCCAGCACCCCTTACCAGGGCCGCCGGCGCACGTCATAGAGGTCGATCTTATTGGGGGCTCTCCATGGGGTGGCTGTGGGGAGAAGGCAGGCAGTGAGTGAGGCAGGGCTGTCCCCGGATGAGGAACAGGGGGACAGGGCAGAGAGATGCCCAGGGCTGAGGAAGCAGCAGGCTCAGGCAGGGAGCTCAGACCAATGGTTTCTGGCAGAGCACGCGTCAGACCAGGCCCAGGGGGGTGCTTTCCCCATGGAGCAGCGAGAAGGGCCTGGGCTGCCCTTGGTCACAGCCCTCTGTGCCACAAGCCCTGCCTGGCACGCACCGGGGTAGTAGCGGGTGACGCCGGTGGCGCTGCCGAAGACCTGCCAGAGCAGGGAGGGATCCTCCTTGCGGTTCTCGATGAAAACGTCCTCCAGGGCCTGCGTCCAGTTCAGCTCGTTGAGGATGACGGTGGCTGCAGGACACAGAGACAGGCGTGGCTGGGTGGAGGGAGCAGTGGGGCTGGGGGTGGGCTGAGGGGTGATGGGGACTGCAGTGTCCCCAGGTGATGGCAGGAAGAGGTGTGTCCCCTCTGCCTCTTCCCAAGAAGAAACCCACGGGGGCTTTCAGCTTCTCCTACATCCCCTTGACTCCCTCACTTCCACAAGGCTCCAGCATCACCCTGCTGTCCCTTGTCCCTAGAGAAATGAGCCACTTCCCAGAGCTCCCCAGAGTGCTCACTGTCCCCATCTGCTCTGGGGCAGACACAGCCATCACTGGGGACAGCTGGCCTGCCATCTTCACTCCATTCCCAGCAAAACTCCCTGTGCAAGCCTCACTCCCTGGGGACAGTCACCGGCTGGGAAACCCAAGGCTGGTGTCCCCATGGGCCATGTGGAGCCTCTCAGGCCCACTCTGCATTCCCACTGGCCCTGCACCTGACACAAAAGCAATTAAGATGCTGGCAAGCAGCAGTTTTAAATTATTCAGCTATTAAAGCACAAGATAAGCTGCCGGCAGCCCCAGCCTGTGATTAATCAAGGGGGGCCATGTGGTGTGGCAGGAATGGGGCTGGCTGGCTGGCAGGGAGCTGGGATGGCACCTCCCTGTGCTCGCAGGGGGACCCCAAATGCTGCCGGAGGGGAATCCCACGATGACCACTGGTGCTGGGTTGTCCCAGGACTGCAGCACAGAGGAGCCAGTGGTGGGTGCCACTGCAGGAGCAAGGAGCCAGCAGCAACCTGAGACCAGGCACTGATCCCTCCTGGGGGACCCTCAATGCATTTTTGGGGTGCAAGAACTCTCAGGAGCACCCCATCTCTTTGGCATTAGGCAAAACTACCCAATGTGGTGCTGCAGGGGAGCCAGTGTGCATTTGAGCAGTAAATTTAGCTCTCCTAAGCCTTCCTCCCACACTTGTCCCTTCTGGAAACACCGTCATCACCCATTCCAGCCTTCACTGTGGTCCCAAGGCACTGGCAGGATGTGGGTAGGTTTCCCAGGATGAATCCTGGATCCCTTTATCCCAGCAGGACTGCTGAAGAATTGTCTTTCCCTCAGGCAGCCATGCCTTCAAACCTTGATTTACTCTACCCGTATCTCCCCAGCCATTCCTCAGTGCTGTGCCCACACACAGTGCTGTTATCTGGGCACTTAGGATGATTTCTTGTTTGGCTCTGACACAGGATGTGGTTTTTCCCAGGAGAAGTGGCTATGAGCTGGCTGCCAGGCTGCTGCCTGCCTGGAGCAGCCCTGGGCAGTGCTGCCAGCCTCAGCTGGGCACCGGGCTGGGCCCTGACACATCCATGATAGCCCTGGCAGCACCTACACACCCAGACCCTCGGGGCCATCAGCCACACCAGTTGTTTGTACTGAATGCGACTCATATTGTCCCTGTGCCCAAACACAGCCCTTCTATTATCTCTGAGCACGAATGCAGCCCCTACACCTTCCCAGGACATGAGTGTAGCCCCCATATCATCCCTGTGAACAAATACAGTTCCTACTCTCTCACATGTGCAGAGTGATGAAGCTGTGTCCCTGCTTGGGATGGCGCCTGTCCCTCTCAGTCGAGGTCAGAGCTGCTATCCCCACTGGCGACATCCCCGTCCCTGTCCCCATCTCGTCCCTGTCCCCATCAGAGTAAGCCCAGCCCCGCCCTGCCCGCGAGCGACTGCATATTTAATTAAAAATGGCACAGTAAATAAAACACATATAGGATGTAATTTGTGAGTGTAGCGAGGGGTGACGGCGGCGGGCGTCGCCGCGGGGTTTAATCAGCGTGCCAGGCAGCGATAGCGCCTCTCCGCCGGTCCCGCCGGGACACGCTCCCGCCCACAGCTCTGCGGGGACGCGCCACGCTCCCTGCTGTCCCTGGCAGGACAGGGGGCCCCTGCCCCCACCCCAAACCACTCTCTGTGGAGCAGCAGCAGTTAGACCCTTCCCTGCACCCTGGATCTCTGGAGCACCCTGGTGTGGCCGGACCTGGCCCTATCCCGGTGCCCACACGCTCTGTGCCTGTGGCTGCAGCCCCTTTCCCGGTCTGGTAAGAGGTGCTGACACTCCCTGCACTGTCACCCCCCACTGCCACATCCCTCTCCAGCACCCCTGTCTGAGCAGATGCGAGTCCCCGGATCGCGTTCATCTCCCGCTTGCCCCGGCCCAGGGCGGGCTGGGATCATCCGTGTGCCCGTGGCGTGGGCTGGCGAGCAGGGCTGAGGAGGAACGAGCCATTTCACCCCGCGCAGCCCAGCCGGCTCGCACGATGTGCTTCATCAGCTGCCCGCCCTGCGCTGGCAGGGTAATAAAACTAATTGCAAATTCCTAATCCGCCGCTGCCTGCGCGGTGAAATCGCTGCACCCGAGCGGCTCCGAGCGCAGCCGTGCCCGTAACGAGCCGAGCACCGGGAACGCTCCGCTCGGGGCAGGAACGTGAGCCCGGCCCCCACCGCCACCATCGCCACCCTCAGCAAGTGCCACTGGAACACAGGTGTGGGGACAGCGGTGCCCCGGGTGGTGTGGGGCAGCTGGGGACGCCCATGACAGCAGGGTCCGGGGCTGGGCTGCAGGATGCGGCCGGCGGGGGCTGCAGGATGCCCTCCATCTGGGAGCGGTCCCAGCTCGGAGCCGAGCAGCCACTAGAGGGAAATGGAGACCGGCTGTCACCATGTGTCACCGCAGCAGGGCGAGGTACCGGAGGGATCTGAAAGCTCAGGGACGGTCACAGCGCTCGGTGGGGACTGAAGCTGGTGTGGCACATCCTGTGCCATCCGCCCGTCCACCCATCCATCCCTGCCCACTCCCGGGCTGGCCCACCAGCCCATCCCCGTTTCTGGAGCAGCCTGTGCCTGCAGCAGCCACAGGGGCACGGCCTGACCCCCTTGCACGTCCCGGCAGCTACGGGGTGGCATCACGCTGTCCTGCAGTCACCCTTGGCTGCCTTCCTGCGGGACTGCAGCTGCTTTTTCTCCCTTTTCATCACGTCAGCCCCAAGTAGGCTGAAGACTGGCAGCATCGCTGCTTCACCCTCTGCCACTGCCCAGCCGTGTCTCACTCCCTCCTACAAGCAGGTCGGTGCTGCCTCTGTAGCTGCTGCTGCACAGAGCTGCTCCATCCCTCTGAACGTCTCTGTGCCTGCTTTGAGCCTTCTCGAGCTTTGCTGGGATCTTCTGCAGGAGGATCAGAGCCATGTGGGCACAGCTGAGCTTTACCCTCGGCCATAATCACCACCTCTCCTTAGCTCCCCATCCCTTCCCTAACCTTCTTTAATAACTCCTAATCCCCAGTCTGCCTCTTTTGCCTGTGCTGAGCTCTTGAGTGTCCCTGGGGAGGGGACACATTGTCACCTCGATCCTGATACGGTGACTCTGCCTTGTTTTACTACCTGTCTGTCTGGGAGACAGCCACCAAGACCCAGATGGAGCACCCAGAGCTGATGGTCCATGGGGCTGCAGTGCTCCAGGCAGGAGAGGTGGATGCCCAACCAGGCAGCAGGAATTGGAGAGGGTGAGGAGGAACACTCACAGCCTTTGTAGATGTCCGTGGGGATCTGCACGGCAGCGTATGAATAGTTAACCTTGGTCTTGAAGTTGTCATCATCAGTGAACTCCAGCTTCAAGGAGTTGGACTTCTCCCTCTCGATCTCTTCTCCATCAGGGTCGTCCTGGGGAAGGAGCAGAGTGCATGGGGTCACCAGGGTTCCAACCCTGGATGGACATGGGAACACCTCCACCTGAAGCCCATCACCAAATGTTCTGTGGGGGAGACCAGCCCTGCTGGATCCCGTGTGGATTTGGCCTGCCAGGAGCAGGTGGGTACAAAGGCTGGTTACCCCTTTTCTCTCCAGCTTTGGTAGCACAGCAGGTATTAAATCAGACATGGAAAAAAAATCAAAAAAAGGCCTTGAAAATCAATTAGCAGCAAAAGGCAACTATCAAAGAGCAAATTAAAACGGAGTGCAGCTTAGCGCTCTGTCAATAAGCAATGCAAACAATATTTAATTATGGTGGAGAGATGGCGAATTCCCCACTGCTGGTGCTGGAACACACTCCCTCACCTTCCCAGCCCTCCTCTCCATTCCCCAGCCCTGCTGCCAGCATGGCACTGAGGGTAAAATCCCTCTGGAAAGGCAGGCAGGGCTGAGCTGGTGCAGGCAGAACAGCTGGGTGGTTGCAGACAGGGGACAGGGTAGGAGCTGAAGCACGGGGCAATGGGGGGAAGAGTGAGAATGGGGGTGGACTCACTACAGAGCTGGAGAAATTGCCTCTGCCACCCCACCAGGAGCAAAGAAACCCAGGAGAAGGTGCTGGCTGTGAGCTGCCCATCCCTGCCACGAGCCCAGCAGCTGGGGAAGGCTGTTTGCAGTCAGCTGGGAGATGCTCAGGGTAGGAAGGAGGGAGAGAAGGATGCTGCAGCACCTGCTCTTTGTGCTTCTGGAGCTACATCCCTGCTGAAGAGGGGCAGGGACACAGAGCTGCCTGCACCATCCACAGGCAGGGACAGGCAACAGTGCCAAGCCCAAACTGGAACAGACACCTGAAGGGATGCCCCACGCTGTCCACAGCAAAGAACCACGAGACCAGGGAACACAAGGGGTAGGGGATGGTCCCATCCTGCTGTCCTCAGTGGCCCACCACAAGCATCTCTCCCACTGGCCAGGCTCCCCTCGACAAAACCCAGGGAACACAGACCTGAATTCTCACAGGAAAAGCCATATATTTAAAGAAAAACTATGGGTTTGGGAAGTAAACGACAAAGCTTGTTTAACACCCATCCTGGCCCCCTCCTTGTTTCCCCTTCACAGATGACATGGAGAAATGTCACCTCCCCTGCAACACCTCCGGCCGGCCACTAAGGTGGTGACATTCCCATGACATTGAGAGGGGTGGCCAAAGCATTTGCCACAGCTCGGGAGAGTAACAGGATTAATATGCAAGGTTTGGGTTTAATTCCAGCTGATGGCCTGTGAGTGTACCACACTGCCCAGCCGACCTTGGTGCAGGGGCTCCAGCTGCCCAGAAAGATGCTGGACTCAATTACAGCTGCACTAGCCAAGCAGGAGGCAGGCAGGTTCCCAACTCCCTGGAGCTATGTCTCCGAGATCAAAATCCAGATTATGCTCTCAATTTTACGTAAATCTGGAGAAAAGGCAAAACCAGACTGCTGGAGCCCCTGCAAAGCCGTGACGCTGCAGCAGAGCCGGCACTCCGGGGAGTGCCAGGCCATGGGCTGCCCGGAGACTGCATCTGGCCCCAAGCCTGCTGTCCATGGGGCTCAGCTCTCTGGGGAGAGCACACACAATATTCATCCCTGCAAACCTCTCTGAGCACCACACAGCGATACAGAGGTGCCTGCTGAAAGCAGGCTTTGGGATAAAGCTGTGGCCTGAGGGCATCTGCAGCACCAAAAACTCTGCTTTGACACTAAACCCTTTTTTAACTCATCCAGCAAATTCCTGGTGACAGCTCCCCATCTCTCCCCATCTCAGATCAGCAGGGCACCCTGCCACAGCCCATCCACTGCCCCACCAGCAGCTGGAAAATCCAGCCCTCCCTCTTTCCCTCATGCTGGCATGGCTATTCCCCACTTCATCGGAGCTGGAACTACTGTATATAATTACTGCTCCTCTGTTTATCATTATTCCGTGATCTCACCCACTTCTGAGGGGCTAATTTGTATGCTGCCAGGTTTGGTGCTGTCTGGCTGCTCTCATTCATGGAGCTGTGAAGAGGCACATGTATAGATCTTGGGGACAAATATACAGCTATCTATACATGGGGCACTTCATGCATCACTGACACCTATATGGCAAACAGACCTGCAGAAAGGGCTCATGTTATCCAAGCTACATTTGCCCTTTATCCATAAATCCCCCAGCCTCAACCCAGTTGTTTCTGTTTAAGCCGGGCTGAATTTGGCCCCTGAAAGGGGTTAATTTCCAGCCACATGAAGGCAGGTGAAGCCCAGGCAGGGAGGGGAGATCTGGGATACAAAGAGACACCTTGGGAAGGCCAAGGGAAGAAATCCTGCATTCAATTTAAATCAGAGCAAAGCAGATGATTCAAGTCCTCCCGAATTTACATCGGTTTAACTGTGAGCATCTCGGCAGGCCCCTAGCCAGATCTTGCAGCATTCCTCATCATTACATTTCAAAAGAACTTGGAAACATCTATTTATCTGTTACAGTGCATACAACATAACACAAATAGATGCTACAGTTTGAATATATTATTTGCTACACACCATTAGAAATCGACTTCATGGCAATATATCAATATGATACATATTTACTGCTTCAGCAAGAAGTCATCACGCCCTGAGAGCTTTTGCCACCTCCACAGCTTTCACAGCTGGGTTGTCAGTCACATTTTCTCTTCAGTCTCCCAAAATGACAGACAGGACAAAGCCCAGAGATGCCCCAACACCCAGTGAGCACCAGCAGCACCACCCAACAGCTTTACTGGAGGCTGCCACGCTCTGGGCAATCGCCTGCCCGCTGCTCCATGCAGGCTGGCGCTGGCTGAGGAGAGCCAGCGTGCCCGCGGGCAGCAGGACTGTCGCGGTCCCCAGGAGCCGTGCAGGGAGCCGGGGTGTGACCTGGCGCAGCAGCGATGCCGATCCAGCTCCCGCAGATGCAGCCCCCCCGTTCACTGCTTATCTCCATGGGAACCAGCCATCACAGCTAATGACGGCTGCTTAAATGGCAGCCCCGGTGACAAACGCAGGGCTGGTCTGGCCGCAGCACCCCGGCAGCATCCTGCCTCCCCCGGCCTGCCCCACACACCTGATGGAGAACACACCGAGATGCCAGCACAGCCTTTTCAATCTCCCAGGGGCACCCATCCACGCTAAGTGTGGAAAGGCCAGCGAAATATTCGTATCAACATGCTGTGATTCTGCTAATAATGGATATAAATGCCAGCCCCCAACACATGGCTGAGAAACTCCAGGCCTCTGCAGAAGGGTCTTTCTCCTTAAATATATAAATTTTTCCTGAAATGCAGTAATTTAATGCTGAGGAGGGAGATGATGTGTTCTCCAGCCACATTCCTGCTTTTACAGCAGCCCAGGTTATAAATAACAATCAGCCTCTCCCGCCAGCCTGCTCCCCTATCCCCCTTCGCTTTTTTTAATCTTTGCCAAAGGTACTGTTTAGAGATCTTTCTAGACCATTTATTTTTAAATTACCAGCCAGAGGAGAGAAGTTAAAAAAATAGGAGAAAAAAAAAAGAAAAAAGGAAAAAGAAAGAAACTTCTGGGGCTGATAGCTTATCGTGAGGAAATCCAAATGTCACATTAGTTGAGAAAGTTGGAAGATTAAATTTTCCAACACCCTTCATCTGCTGCTGCTGACATTTAGGGGCTTTTTTTCCCTCCCCTCCTTCCCCTCCTTGCTGCATCTACTGAGCAGGGTGAGCAGTGAGAGGGGTGAGCAGTGAGAGGGCAGCCCCACCTCCCCTGCAGCAGAGGGGCTGAGGCTGGCACGGAGCCTCCCACCATCAGCCCCTGGCTCTCAGCCCTCCCCAGGACCTCAGGTGGGTGGCAGGGGCTGGAGGGCTGACCTTGGGGCCAGGATACCCTCACACAGCTGAGCTGTTTCCACCTGAGTACAGTACGTCCCAGGCTCAGCTTTGACAAGCATCATCCCCTGCCAGGAACACAACACAAAAGATGGAAAATGAATTTATTTCTGTGTTGTTCTACCTGTGACACCCAACTGAGACCGTCTGCTGATTTCAACACTTCTCCCCACATAAACCCCATGGTTCTTGCTAGCGGGGAAAGGTGAAAACTTCACTTCTGCAAACATTCTGACAGCCTTGGGGACCCCTGGGAAAATCTTCTGATATTCCCATTTGTTAAAAACCACTTGGAAATCCAAAGTCTGTTTGGGCGGATAGTGGAGCTGAGGTGCAGGCAAGATGAATAAGCTCATTTCCTCCTCACTGCAGCTAAAGCCAGTGTAAGGCTTGTGAATAAGCCCCAGTTATGGGCAGAAGCCATTGTCCATCAGCACCAACTCTGGCTCAGCTATGTCCTGCTCCATTTAAATAGAAAAATTGAAGCTAAATAAAGAAAGGATGGAAAGAGCACTATTATGTTCCACTCAGACTTTCTGGTATAATTTCTCCTTTTTTTTTCCTCAGCAGCATCTTCTTTTTTTCCTCCATTATTTTTGTTGGAATTTTGTTGGGATTTCACTGGTAAGGAAACAACAGCAGAGGTAGGGAAGTGCCCTCCCTGCCAAACCCACATACATCAAGAACAGGACACCCCCAATTTTGCAATTTTGCTTGGTATCTCCCCAGAGCAGGCCTAAAGCTGATGTGTCTGGTGAGGGATTTGCAGGGCTGTTCCTCCTCGATATGTCAGCTCCTTTGGGCAAGGGAGGGATCAGGGAGCTGAGCCCTGCAGTCCCCAGTGACACTGTGCCATGCCGCTGTGCACAGCCTCTCCCCAGTGCCCCCTGTGCTGGGAGGGTCCAAGGGCACAGCTCCAAGGTCAAGATGCCTCCTGTTTCCTAATCCTGCCTAATGTGACCAGGATGGTGGGGTGTGACAGGGGAACAGCGGGCATGGGGACATCCAGCTTCTGTCCCCTGCCCTGCAGCAGTGATAGCAAAAGCCCAGCCCAGCCTGATGGATGCATTAGTCCTGCTCCTCATCCCCTGTGCTGGGAGTTGCTCTGCTCCCCAGGCTGTCTCCTCCTGCCTGAACCGCCAGGCAGTTTTTCCTTCACTTCTATCCAAAATCCCCTTTAATGTATTTTAAGCCCATTAGCTCCATCCTCTCCAGAGCAGCCATGGCAGGATCCTCTCCTCCCTCCTTTGCTAGCTCCCCCCAGACTGAAGCGGGGGACAGGAGACTTCCTCTGCTTCCTCAGCTGTAAATGAGTGGGACTGTGGGCAGGGAGACCTGCTCAGGAGAGCAAGTGCCCGACTTCCCCATCCCACCTCCCAGACTCTGTGGCTGCTTCCCCTGCCAAGGAGCCTTCTTACTGTCACTGCCTGGGGACAATGGCACTGGCAGTTAGCCAGTAGCTCTGCTTTGAAGGCATCCATCCATCCTCCTCCACTCCAGCCTGTCCCTGGCTCTGCTCTGGGGCATAGACTCCCAGGTGGGTCGAGAGGAGAGACAGTGTCACCCAAGCTGGTGGGACCCCATCAAGACTAGATCCTCCCCTCCCTTCTGCACAGGGCCTTCTGAATGCTCTTGGGGTCACCTGAGTGTTATTTTTGGATAAGGTCGTGTGGTTTGCAAGTGGTTTGCAGCTAACACCATGTTCTCTCCCACTGTGTTACTGTCTCTGCTGCCAGGTCTGCCTGGGGACAAGGAGCAGTCCTGGTGCACCAGCACTGGCTGGGGCTGTCCCCAAGGCAGCACCCTGCTGTGCTTGGGGCTGCTGGTCAGCTCCAAGGATTGCTCAGCAGCCTCACGCCAAGAGCATCACTGACCTGACAAGCCCCTGTTTCGTAAGGATCCCACAGCACAGTGTGGGAGCTGGGTCACCTGGCAGAAAAGTGGGGAGCCCCAGGGCAGAGAGGGGTGCCCCAGGGCAGCAAGCACCGCCCGTGGCACAGCACCTGAGTGAAGTCACCCTCACTGTCACCACCGGGAGGAGCCGGCAAATGCCACCTCTCTCGGGAGCACCGGGGGATGGGAGCTGACAGGCCTGTAGTTAAATCACTGATTGCCAGAAATCACAGGATGGCTATGCTCCGAGTAGGGCAGAGAATTAGATTCAGTCTCTAATTAAAGGTTTGCTCTTCATTTGAATTTCAGATGCCAGCTTTAATTTTAGAAACTTTTGCAGGCAGCAGAGCAACCTGCCCACCTGCCTGCTGCCAGGCCCGGTGCTCGTGGCCAGATGTCACCAGGGCTCAGCTGGGGGGACACGGCTGCACACCGGGCACTTGCTGCCCGCTGCAGAATCTGATTACAGCTGTGACAAATGCTGTGCCACGACCCCTGCTGCTGTGCTGGGACAGACTGGCGAGGGGCTCAGCCCTGGGCCAGGGTGGTGGCTGTGCCAGAGGTGCCACAGAGACAGCACTTACATATTCAGTGTCGGCCTTGGAGTCGTAGTACTCGATGTCTTCCTCCTGCAGAGAAAGGGGAGAGCTGTTAGTGCCAGTCAAGGTCAGGGATGGGAAAGGAGTTCCTCCCCCTGACTCGTCCCCTCAGCACCTCCCTCATGCTCTTGGCAGCCAACACATTGCTGGGGACTGAACCCTTCTCAGCCCATGCTGTCCTTGGGACATGTTCAGGACCTCACGCCCTCCACATCACCCTCCAAGGATTGGCCATGGCCTGCCATGCTTCCCTCCACTCCTGACTGCTGCTGAGCCACAGCACTGCGGGGCCAACAGCCCTGTGACAGTGACACCGGTGTGACCGCAGCCTCTGCACTGTCACCAGGTGCCAGCCTGTGCCACGTCCCCACAGCCAGGCTGCTTTGGTTCTGTTGCAAACATCAGGAGCCACAGAAGAGGCAGGTTTAGGCAGTGTGGCAGGCAATGGCCCTGCAGCCACCCAGGGCCCCTCCCTGCACTGCAGAAACAGGGAGAAAAGTGTCCTTGCTTCCACAGAGAAATGCACGTCGTTAATTTGGGGTATTTAGAACCTATTTAAGCAGAAAGGTCTGCTTGGATTCCTCTTCCCAGAGTGTCAAGACGCGAGACAGCTGATAAAATTCCTGAAGAGGCAATTGGGAGAGCAGCGATGCTGTCACAACAGCATTCCGTGTACCAGTAGAAAGGGTAATTAAAGGGCACTCAGAGACTCTTCCCAGCGTGCCGGCCCCAGTGCGATGCCGGCACACCGTCTGCCAGTCAATCCCCGTCAGCAGCCAACCAGCCTTCCCGGCACGGGCAGCGCCTCGGGGTGATTATTGCTGCTATTATCTAAGGAGGAAAGCGATCTGACCCCGAGCAGAAACGCGGCCAAAGCCCCAGTGGCACTGACTGCATCCCTGTCCTGCCTGCCCCTGCTCTGGACAGACCTGGACACAGCCCTGTGCCAGGCACGGTGGCACTGTGACATCCATCCCAGGCTGGGCACGGGCTGGTGCTGGAGACAGGGACCAGGAGAGGCAAGCAGCTCTCCAGGCAGCACCACCGTCCCACCAGCCCGGCCCCGCTGAGCGCTGGCAGTCGCTACCCCTCGCCGGGATTACCCTCTTAGCCACAAAATTGCTCCCCAGCGTGGTTTGCAGTGGCTTCCCAAGAGGTGGGAAACCCCTGAAGCTGATCTTGGGGACATGAACAGCAGGGGACCCCGGCAGGCTGTGCAGCCGGTGTCTCCCCGGGATGGGGATTGCAAAGGGCAGTTCCAGCATCTTCCTGAGCAGAGACTTCCGCGGGCTCTGCGACTCTCAGTGATTGCGATAAGGCAGCACCGGGAGGAGAAAGTAAAAAAAAAAAAAAATTGACGCAGCATCTTCCAATTTCTGCTATTAAAAAGCCCAGTCATTAAGGGAACACACTTATTAATTATCTGTGATTTGTTGTGAAATGCTGTGGGGTTTACAACAACAAGAAAGGCAAAAAAAAGAATTAATTTCTCCTCAGCTGGCCCTGCCGCGCCGCTCCGGCCCCACGCACGCCCCTGCCCCTCGCCGGCACCGCCTCTCCCCAGGTCCGCGGCCATCTGCACTTGCTAATTAAAGGAACCCCGGGGAGACCCGCAACACAAACCAGCTAATTTCATGTTTAATGATCTTTAATCAGGAGTGAGTGTGACTAACAACGGCCATCCAGAAGGTGCTTTGTTATTCATTTTATTTGCCACTGGCTCCTCGGAAAAGCTCGATTCCCCTCGCAGCCGCAGAGGCCCCGCTCCGCAGTGCAGGGGGCACGAGGTGATGATGCTCGGTGAGGATGCTCGGTGATGATGCTCGGTGAGGATGCTCGGTGATGATGCTCGGTGAGGATGCTCGGGCAGGAGAGCCCGTCCCCGATGCTGCTTTCCCCGCTCCAGCACTCCCACGGCACAGGGCATGGCACAGGGAGCAGAGCACCTGGGAGCACGTCCCTCCCACCGATTCCCCCAGGGAACACAGGGCCCTTGCCATGCAAGCCCTCTTTCAAGCCCTGACGACCCCAGGAGCAGCTGGGTGAGATCTCAGTCACACTCAGGCAGTAGCTGAGGTTTCCACATGTGAGACAGCACGTGTGGAACAGCCAGCATCAGCGTGGCCCTGGCCCTGAGATGTGCCCTGATGGCAGGCTCCAAAATCCTTGCCACAGCCCTGCTGATGCTGGGGGGCTGGGGGTTTTTCATGGGGTCCAAGGGAGACTGGGGGAGCTGGCAGGGCATCTGCGTCCTTGCCACTTGGAAGCCTGTGTCTGTTCCAGGAAGGAGGGAGAGAGTCCTCAGAGATGCTCTAAAAAGATGCCATGAGTGTTCCGAGAGGCAACAAGGGGGCCTATAATTTCTGCTCCCTAATATTTTTTTTAAACCACATTTGCCTTCTTCACATAATCCTCTCTTCCTCTGCTCCATGTTAAACTCAGCACCAGGTCTGTGTAAATAGCACTGGTATTTCTAGAGCCCTTCAGAATAAATACCAATAAAGAAAACAAGAGGGTGAAGATGTCAAGGGATTTTGAAGCAAAATATTGTCCCTGTCTCTTGCAACCGAGCCTGCAGGAAGCACACACTGGTTCCCACTGCAGGGGAGGCTGACAAGGAGGAGCTGCTGCTCCATGATATGTTAACCACTGGCCATTTTCTTACCTAAATTGCCAAGTGCCACCTGCACAATGGCACTGCATGGCTGTGTCGCTGGTGGGTACGTGTGGGGTTATTTCAGCTCCTGAAGTGCAACTCTCAGTGCAACAATAAACCCTAGTGCAACACTCTGGGAGCTCCGTGCAACCCCAACCTGATCTGCAGCTGTCCCTGCAGCCATGGCCCAGGCTTCTCCAGCAAGGCCACCAAGGCACCACCGCACCTGCACCAAACCCTTGTGGGTCAGTGTCACTGGGCAGCCCTGGCCAAGGCTTGACCCAGCTGGGACCTCCTGGAGGTGGCCCTGGGGATGCTGCTTGCCAGAGTCTCCCCAGGGACCCTGGCTCCTTCCTCATCCCCTTGAGCCCTCCCCAGGTGCCCTGTGCTCCACACCTTCACTGTTTTCACACCAAAACACCAAGTGAAAAGCTGATTAAAAATCCAGGCTGTGAGCTTCTGGAGAGCTGCAAGCTGGAGCCTTGCCAGTGGCACAAGGGAGGACCCTGCACTGGTGCTCCCTTGACACACAGCAGCAGAACAGGTATGAGACAAAGCCCAGGACAAGGAGGGGCACACAGATGTCTCAGGTGGGTGGTGAGGGGCACTCCCCCCACAACCCCTGACACAGCCCTCTACAAGCATTCAAATAGATATTTTTTTTGGCCAAAAACAATTACAGCAACTAAAAATAATGCTGAAAAGGTCAGTGCTCTGTTATCTGGCTGCAGCCTGGAGATGTCTGGAAGGAGGGGTGTTGGCCCAAGCCTCCAAATCAGCGACCTAACGAGGTGGCAATCAAACTATATCACACACAGAGCTCCCACAACCCTAAAAAACCTCGAAGGAGCTGTTGGTGGCACATCAGCTCCCTGCTCCAGCCGTCCAGCTGGATCACACAGCTGGCAGGGACACTGCAGGAGGGCTATGGCTCACTCTCCCCTATAGAGCTTTCCTGTAAAATCACCTAATCTGGCTAATCCTTCTCCGGAGACCTGTAGGATCTGTAGTACTCCACAGGATTGCTCAGTGTCTCTTGTAAGGGTCACCCTGCTAATCACATGCCCTGGGGACGCTGCAGCTCCCCGGGGCAGTTTTGCAGGCAGATCCTGCTGCAGCGCATTGATTTTGGTCCCTCTCAGCCTCCGGCTGTGGGTTTCATTTCTCTGAGCAGCACAGGTGACCCCTGTGGTCAGCAAATCTCTTTCAAGATTTAATTGGCTCTGGAAGAGCCAAATCCTGCAACAGTTTGCCTTCAGGCAGTTAGGAGAAACTCAGAGGGTGGTGGGGAAGAAAAGATGGATCCCAAGCTGGCACCTGCCTGTTTTCCAGCCACTGGATGGAGCTGGTGGCAGGACCAGCATCCCAGGCCACAGCTTACCAGTGCGGAGAAAGCCAGGTGACCAGAGCTGTGCTGGTCAGACACGTGGGTAGTACAGTAGGTGGGGAGAGCAAGCAGGAGCTGGTGTGCCCACACAGCACTGGGGGCTCTGCTCACGAGCTCACCTTTCCTCTGCCATCAGCACTTAGAGAGGACAGGGAGTATTTAGGTACTTCTTCATGTCCCTGAACCATTAAGCACACAGAAATAGCAACAGCTTTTTGCTTATAGCTGCACCTTTCATACAGATGACATCCTGCATGTGTCACAGAGCTCCTGCAGCCTCACAGCTGTGCTATGGCCAGAGGAGCAGAGCATGAGCAGGGACACAGCACATCCCCACCACAGCATCACCCTGCCAAGCCCTCCTGGCCACGAGGAGCAGGATGGGGCCACCCCATGGCTGTCCCTGGGGATTGGTGTGTGCTGCTCATTGGTCCTGGCTGCAGCTGGGGCTGCAGGTCTCAGCCAGGTGAGTGCTCAGCCCGAGGTGTCTGAGCCCTGCCATGGGCACAGCAGCCTCTTGGCTGGGGAACAACAGAGCAAAGAAAGTGTTCCTGCTACACCTGCCATGGGCTGGTGTGAGGGCCACAGCCAGGAACAGGCTCCAAAGGGGCTGGATGAATTCCTGGGAGAAATTCCTACCTGCAGTCACAGCCACACCTGCCTGTGGCTGGTAGGGGCTGAACCTTTATTTCAGCTGGCTAGAGATATTCTTGTCCATATGCACCATGATGAATCCTTTCCTAGTCCCCTGAAGAGGACAATATTCATGGTTAGCCCCAGCCACCACAGGCTGCTGGATAGACCCAGAAGGAGTCTGGTGGGGCCCATATTTCTCCTGCAGCACTGTGAATTCCCTGCATCCCATCCACCATCAGGGGCCGTACGCATTACCCAGGACAGGTGGAAACAGTCATCATAATCTGCCTTGGCATCTTTTTTTTTAAAAGCAATTTCCTCCCTCTGCCTCTCTGACAGAGCTGGGGAAAT